GGGTGGGCCTCACAGACCAACACAAACTGGGGACACCCTCCAGGAGCAGAAAACATCCTCCATCAAAGGGTCACTCAGCCAACCCCGGCAGGCAACAGATCCTAGATGTTGAAATTTGAAGACCCCCCCCCCAAGTGCACCAAGTCCGGCACCAACCGCAAGACCAACCAGCCTATCCACAGTAGCAGTGGCCCAGCCAGCAGTGATCCAAGGAGCAGACCACTCCACCCTGAAGAGATTCAGAACATGTCCCAGTCACTCCACCAAAGTGGCCCAGCAGTGATCCAAGGAGCAGACCACTCCAGCAAATCTCCAAAGAGCAGACACACTCCACACTGCAGAAATCCAAAACATGGCCTGCGCAATACCACTATCAGGCCCAGAGCAAACCAACTCCACAAATGGAACAGTACCCTAAGAGCGCCTTGGCTCTAACTGGACCAGTGGGGCATCCAGAGTCATGATGCCCACGATGCTGCCCCCCTCTCCTAGACGCCCGTCCCAACGAGTCAGAGTTCTAGCACTACGGGTCTCCCAGCACCAGCAGTCCCTCCACTGAGAATCCGAGCACGGAATTCCAGTTGACACTGTCGCCCAGTACCAACACACCAACAGCTGAAGCCCCGAGCATGCTTGGAATCCCACAATGGCCGACCCTGTCACTGTGATCCCCACGATGGTCAGTCCAATCACTGACAGCCCCATGGCCCAGTACAGGGAGCCCAACCAGCCATTCTTCAGCACTACAGGCTCGAGAACCGTGGACAGACACCTAGCACGGTAGGCCCACGCAATGCTGTTTCCCTGTAGCGACAGGCCTCCCCAGCACCGGAACATCATGTCCCCAACAAGTACTGCTAGGAGCCCCAGCACGGGCAGTCCATACATTGGCCAAGAGTCATGACTCTGGACAACAGTACCAGCCGTTGACACAGCAGATTGTAACTTGGTCAGAACCAGACAAGCTTCATGAAATGAGCACCAATTCTACACTGAAGAGATTCAGAACACGCCGAATCAGCGAACTCAAACTAGGCCCGGAGCAGCACTGCAACAAAGTGGCCCAGCAAATCTCAAAGGAGCCGATCAACCCCGCACTGAAGAGATCCACAACAGTTTCTGGAACTGCAGAATCAGCCCCGGAGCCGCAGCACTCCGACAACGAAAGCCTATCATAGCTTCATGAAATGAGCTACAGTACACCGTCTACAATCAGATCAGAACTGAAGAACTATGTGGAAGGCGTTTCCAACTAGCCCAGGGTTTGGCATTGGGCACCAAGCCACGTTCATACGACTACTGGTCCCACCTAATGCACCGCCCACTGGCCACTGGTGCCCAAATTCTGAATCCTACACTGCAACCAGCAACTGGTCTTACCCCAAGTACAACAGACCCTCAGAGCAGAAGGGAGCGGACGAGCTCCACCCAAAAGGACTCTGAACTGCACTTGGGAGCGGATTAGCTCCATCAGTTCCGACCCTAAGAGCGGATCAACTTCACAAATGAAGTTTCACATCAGTCAAGGGTGCATAGCACACCAAACCGATCCCAGAAGCAGCAAAACTCCACCACAGGAGAGATGCAGAAACTGGCCATATGGCTGCCCCAAATCCATGAAACTAGGCCTTAGCCCAAACCTCCAGGGTCCATCCATCTGCTTTGAACCAGTTGCAGTGTCAGAGCCCGGGCAAGTGATACAAGCCCCATCAGAGTTTCTTGCTGCTCATTCTGTCAGTTGTCACACCAGAAAGACACCATAAAGATGTGTTGTGAGTGTCTTCCATAAGCTCAATCTCAGTTGGCTGGTGATCCCAAATCTGCCACCAACTCTGTACTGGAGACATCCAGGCTGCTGGGAACACCACTTGAATTGTCACAACCCAGCACCAGCCTGAGACTGTGCTAATCTGACTGGACCTGCTGCATATAAGCCACTCTGGCAATTACAGAGTCTTCATCTGGTTCCACAGGCAGGATTTTGGTTTTACACTCCAGCCACCCCTGGTGTCTCACTGATCCACACTTTGAAACCACCAGTTCCAAATCTATTCAAAGCCCAAGAGCTGATCCACCTCGATGATCAGAACTAGCATCAATGACAGGGTAGACCCCTTGGCCAACCCCTAAGGCTCCCCAGGTGCGACCTCTGGTCCAACTATTTTGGGCCCCCACAGTACAGGCAGCTCCACCACTACGGGTCCAAGCTCCTTGTTGGCTAGCACGGTTGGCCCCAACAAAGCTGGCCCCAACAAAGCTGTTCCCCGTACAGACAAACCATGTCCTCAAGTACTGCTAGGAGCCCCGGCACTAGCAGTCCATCTACCGCCAGCCCAAGCGCAGTAAATTCCAGCACCAATTTGGTGGTCCCTGATCTGCCACCAACTCTGTACTAATCACCAGACCCCATCAGATCTCAACCTTGATAGGAGCAGCCCAGCTTCGAGCAGACCAGTGTCATCCAAGGTGCTAACCTCTTTCCAGTCAGATCTGTAGCAATGAACGCCTCTCAACCTATCATCCAGGTTGGGTGGTGTCAAGCACCCTCAGGCAAAATTGGAGGTGTCCCACATTTGGCAAATGACAGTTTGCTGGGAGCACAATTGCCGCAGCCCCAACACCAGGCCCCTATAGTCTTGCTGAACCTCAACAAGGCACTCAGCTTCTCATCTGTACAGGAATGTTCTCATCTGCTCAATTTGGATGGATATAACTCTCCAACCCCTGTCGGTCTCCTCAACTACAGTGATCCTCAGAGCAAATTGGCCTACCAAATCAGTCTGAAATACCTCGCAGCAGAGAAAGACACACTCACCACACCATTCAGCACTCAGCTCTGGCTTGGAGCAGATTCTACCTGCAGGCAGAGGTGAAGCAATCACTGACAGCCCCAGGACACGGAGCCCAAGCACCTCTGGCCCAACTATTGGCATTCCATTTGACTACACTGTCGCCCATTGCCAACAGCCCAACGACTAAAGCCCCAGGCACGCTCAGAATTCCCAAATTGGCCGACCCCGTCACTGCGATTCCCATGATGGTCAGTCTAATCTATGACAACCCCAGTACAGGGAGCCCAATCACCTGTGGTCCAACTATTATCGGCCCCAGTACAGACAGCCCCAGCAATACATGCTCGAGCACTGTGATCCGCAGATCAGATCTGTTGCAACGAGCAAACCACAACCGATCGCAGCTCGATAACGCTGTTTCAACCAGCCCATGGACCTGGGCGCCAAACCATGGTCACCATACTACTTCTGGTTCCATGGGATGTACCACCGTTGCCCCAAATTCTGAATTGAATCCTAACCATCAACTGGCAATATCCCAGTTCAAAATCCATTCAAAATCCGCCTTGATTGATCAGCACTAGCGCCAATGTAAGAGTGGATCCCCTGACCAATCTCTGGGGCTCCCTTGGACCACAAAATTTTGCTGGTCTCTCTATCATAGCCATCTACTCTCCCAAAAGCCTGTGCAAGCTGGTCCACCTAAATGATCAGCACGGGCATCAATGACAGGGTACACCTCATGTCAAACTCCTGGCAAGTGCACAGAGCACCAACAGCTTTGATACCAAGCACCCTGGGCACAATACCCTTATCAACCAAGATCCCAAGTTCTGATGAACTGGCATTGGGGTTTCTCTCACAAGAGCTCAGCACTGGAGCTATTGGAACCACTTGCATCCGCCCCCAGCAGTTACCAGAAGCAACTTCTATTCCAGTGTGGTTGAGTCAGTCCGTCTGTTCTTCACCGCTCCCACTCTAGTACTGCCATTTTGGTAGCACTTCATCACTCCAGAGCAGCCCTCACAACTGTATGAGTCTACTCTGTCTACCCGGCCTGAGAGATGCACGTGGAACCTTCTATGGCACGGATCGTTCCAATCCATCCCTCACTCCGAGCATGGAGCACCATGGAGTTCACAGCTGTATGAGTGTGGCCAATGCCACCACTCACACAGCTTGGGTAGGCACAAAGCAATAGTAGCAATAACAGCTCTATAGCCTTAAGCCCAAACCACTTAGTACTCCTAGCTCGTAGCTCCGGCCATAGTGTAGACAGGGGTAGAAAATAGCCCTGTAGGTGTCCAGAATGTCATTGCATGCATGCAAGCTTGCCTACCTAGCTTTATGAGTCTGGCTATATTCTGTCGTGCTTTGCCGCCAGCAATATAGTCCGAGAGCATAAAGTAGGAGCAAGTGTGCGTCTAGAGGAATGTACTGCGGATCGGACTCGCACCTCTGCAGTCCTCTCGCTCATTCTTCATTCCTCTTCCAACAGACCAGAGCAATGATAATGGTCACCTACAGATGGTTACTAGAGCTACACAAGTGCATTGCTCATGTTTTCGCTTTCCCTGACCCATCCCACCCTTTTGTTTTTGTAAAGAGTTCACAGCTGTATGAGTGTGGCCAATGCCACCACTCACACAGCTTGGGTTAGGCACAAAGCAATAGTAGCAATAACAGCTCTATAGCCTTAAGCCCAAACCACTTAGTACTCCTAGCTCGTAGCTCCGGCCATAGTGTAGACAGGGGTAGAAAATAGCCCTGTAGGTGTCCCAGAATGTCATTGCATGCATGCAAAGCCTACCGGTACCTAGCTTTATGAGTCTGGCTATATTCTGTCGTGCTTTGCCGCCAGCAATATAGTTGTTTCTTTTTTTAAAATTACGAGGCCTCGAAAAAGCATCCTTCAAGAAGACGATGATCACACTGTTGCTTGTCCTTCTGTTGTAACGAATATCGTTGTATTACTACAGTCTTCTCTCTTGCACTACATGTACTCCACATTCGAGAGACTCGACTCATCGGCATTGCACCACTCTCGACTCATCGGCATTGAACCGTGTGAACTGGATCACGCAAACTTCTCCTTCGAGAGACTCTTGCGATACAACTCGACTCTTGCAACTCTTGCGATACTACGACGATCAGCACAACACGGCACATCAGAGATTCGTGGAGACCAGAAAGACTCGTTCTTCCACCATGGACCGCATCGAAAATGTAAAAATCGCCTCTTCTACCGCTTCTACGCAAGCGTCCACTTCAAACTTTGTCTGGTTCTTGGCTCAATTCCTGCAACACTACCGGTACTCGCAAGCTTCCACTTTCTTCCACCATCGCCGGCGTCGAAAATGTACAGATCGCCTCTTCGCCCGCTTCTAACACTACCCGCAAGCGTCGCAAACGTCGCGAGCGTCCACGTCAACCTTTGCACGATTCGTTGCTAAATTCTCCCAACAGTCAAGGTGCGGCAAATCGAAGAGCAGCAGGCCGACGGCCAGCTTCAACGGTACAACAGGCAGATCTCTCCGACAACGATGAAGATGACAGCCATTCATTGGGCTCCGAGGAGGAGAAGGACGTTCTCGAGGAGGAGAACGAAGACCTTCTAGAAAACCCTGACCAGGATATGACTGAGAGTGACAAGGCCTTCTACAGCAAGCTCATCATGGGCATTTATGGTGAAGAAAAGGCTCGCAACTTGATCAAGCCCAAGTGTCCCCAAGCTCTTGATATTGTCATGCGACACCATCACTACTGTGATCCAGCTGGTGCATACTTGGACGATTTACAACCACACCGTTGCCGCCGTCAAAACGGTGGTGTCTACGGACTTTTTGACGCTGATGGCAACATCGAGAAGGTTGGATCTACACGCATCTTTGTTGAACGAAGAGACAACCATTACTTGAAGAACGGAGGCATCAGCGACCCCGATCAGTTTTTCGTGCTGGTGGACATGGACGACATGTGCGAAAGTGCTAATAAGGAATTTGAAGAACTCTACCGTGACATCCTCTGCACGTTGGCCACTGCTCCAGAGCTCCACCAATTCCGGCGTTTCTGGTTTGGTGAACTGCTATCTAAGCGAGGTGGTGACCGCATGGGATGCAAGAATCAGATTTGCCGTCAGTTGTTGGAGTACGCTTTTCAGCTACATTGGGATCTTCCAGCCCGTCCAGTGTTGTTTCTCATGTTTGAAGGTTCCATTTGCGATGAACTCTTCAGGATGGCGCGTGAAGGAGGCGAGCGAATTGTTGACGAGTGCTGCAAAGTTCTTTTGGACTACAGTGCAGAATCAACCGACAAGAGTGAGCGCCATTGCCATGCCACGTCCAGCTGGAAACCGGCCCATGATCAGTTGTCCAGCATGATCGTGACTACCCAATGCACTTTGGCGGACGAGGAATACAAGAACAACTGGTCTAACACCATTCCTGAGCCTGCCATTCCCAATGCCAAAACTCGGAAAGAAATCTTCTCCACAGCCTACAGTGCCAAGACCAAGGCAAAGGGACGCGACCGTCTAAGAAATCATATCAAGGCCTTCAAGTGTTCACGGTTTGGAACTCAGCAGGTGGACTCCAATGACTTGATCTTTGGTGGGGATCCCGCTTCAGGCTATGACGACATTCATGACTTTCTAGGAAATGAGTACAGCTTGGAGAAGGCCCTCAGTCTGCACTCGGAAGAGATTGTTGTGTACACCAACAAAGGCACGACTCATGTCCTTCTCATTCACCGGCCTCTTTGTGTTGCAAGTGACAGCCAGAGTATGATTCCCATGGAGAACCGTCTGCGTCGGTCCATTACCGCTGCAATTCTCACGAACGCCCAACGCCAACTACAAGGAAAAGAACCATTGGGACCTGATGACTTCTTTGAGAATCCTATCTACGCCATTGTCGCCTTTATGATTCACAGGATTGGCTATCATGGTGATCTTCGAGTGTCTGCTGCATTCTTTCGGGACGTGGTCACTGACTCCAGTGTCAACGCATTGACCGAGAACCAGCTTCCCAAGCTCAGCAGCCAGAGTGCGGCGATCTCCAAACGTCTACGAGACCGACAGAATCGACAACGGCGCCAGTAGAAGAAGAAAGCGGCTGCTTCCGATTCAATGCGTCGTCGAGAAGATGACGATTCGCTGGTGAATCTTTCAAGGAAGGAACTTGATTGCACGAGCAACCAATAAGGAGACACTAGAGCAGCAGTTCCTGGCGATGAAGAAGCACTTCAAAACGGGAAAGGCAGTCAAAGATTCTAGGCTTGAGTCAAAACGGTACCTCCAGCTCTTGGCAAATCACATCCTGCCCAACACCAAGCTTGCAAAGAACCTAGCAGCGCTTCAAAAGAAGCATGCCGACAACAGCGGAAACAGGAACAAGGGACCAGGAAAAGCCAAGACCAAGGTCGAAAATTTGGACAATGATGCCTTGATGGAGCAGCTGGTAGTGAGCCATGGCCCAGTGGATGGCAAGCCGGGCAAGAAATTCTGGCTTCGTCTCAAGGCCGCTTCAGTGAAACCAAAATCAGGAACCAAGTCCTGTTGTGGCGGAGACGAGGAGTTTCCTGGCAATCACTTTGTTTTTGAGGCCCTTGCAAAGGATGGAATTCGGCAGCGATTGGATGCCATTGATGCGCCAACAAGAAGGGCACGACGGAAGCCTTCAAGTCGACATCATATACTCAGATTGGTTTGGAGTTGGTCCGATGCAAGAGAAACAAGAATCATCGCATCAAAGTGGGCCCAAAGGGGAAGGAGTATGGTCTTTTTCAATTCCATCTTCAAGGGTGAGTTGGTTCCCTCCCCACCTCCTGGGCCCACTAGCTAGAGCAACTTCAAAGGAACTACTAAGCCAAATTTATTGCACAAAGCAAGAAAAGGTGGAAGCAAAAAGGTAGGAAGCGACTACGGCATGATTCGAACATGCGCGTTCAAAGAACAATGGATTAGCAATCCATCGCCTTAACCACTCGGCCACGTAGTCTTTTCAGCTGGTAATTATGGAGATAACACGGGTATACAAACAATGCTCGGACAACGCGTCTGCCTTTTCAAACAGGACTTCGAGGCATCCAAAAATAAATGTAAAACAGAAAGGTAGAGTGTGGGATCCTTACTGTACGGTAACATGGTTTGATCAAGTAATGAAGATGTTCTTGCAGATATCAAAGCTTGGTATAATACTTGGTACTTACCATTGATTTCCCGTTGCAGGCTTTGACCTTGTCAATTTCTCTGAGAAAATCATCGGCACACTTCCAGGGACTTTGGTACCATCTCAGACACTTGGTGAACCCGTGTCTTCGAGCCTGAGAGACACCATCAGCAAAACCGCTTGCTGTTGCAGGGGTATCCCACGAAGCCATGATATCTTCTTTCATTACTGTATATATACTTGCCAAAGCTATGATAAGGGTCCTGAGAGCCGAGGACAATAACGATGTGCCGTGGGTAGATACCGTAAACAAAGAAGATCACTGTGGCGGTTTCCCTCTTTCGGTGGCCATGGAGCGGCCAACTCATCAAAAGCCAATGACAACAGGGGTTGCCAAGAACGGCCAAGCGGTTGCTGGGCGATGTGACCTTGGGTTCAGAGCGGGACGGCGCAAAAGTGCGTCTGATTAACTAGTACGCTCCCACCAACCCTAACCTTCGGAGCGACGAACCGCCTACATGTAGCCACGCACGGGACTATCACGACTATTTTAATATCACAGTTTTACACGGGACAGCCCCGTGTTTCAGGTCTCTGGAGAGTGGGGCGATGCCAAGTCAAAGCCACATAAATCGCTAACGTGCATTTCGAAATCGCCGTTTCATCCCCAGGGCTGAGCCCTGCAAAAGAGTGTTGTTACAGATTCGATCGATCATTCATCACACAAGTTCAGCATCAAACACCACCGCCGGTAGTACGTTCGAAAAATCAAACAAAATGGTGCAATTCAACATGTTTCGGGCCTTCCTTGTGGTTTTTGTTGTGGTCATGGCCAACCCCGTTTCGGCCAGTGTGAATTGGGATGGACCTGTGGATGAAGCCATTTCAAGGCTTGCTGGAGTTCTGCAATCTTTTGGACTTGAAGGTGCTGGAGTCAGACCATTCGGATATGGCTTTACCCTTGACCCACCATTGGTGAAAGATACTGAAGAAGAAACCACTACTCCCTAAGAAAGCACGCCTACATCCAACCGAGCACTCAACATGGAGATCACAGCAAAGAAAAAACTATTGCCACTTTGCTCGCACCTGTTTGCGGACGAAGCTGCTTATCTCACCAACCTACTCGGTCAAGAAGTCGATGGAATTAGGTCAAAAGTGGCCTGCCAGTGGCATAGAATCCTTTTAAATTAATAATCGAGAACCTGTTACAATCTTGCTTTTGCTCGCTGTTTTACCGTTGGCTGATGTTCCTGTTCGGTTCCATAACAGACCTCTTACTAGTAGTAATACTATGGTCATACTACGATTGGTGGAAGCGGATGCTTGCCAATACCGGGCAGGGTATCGTTCATCTCGTTCTCAGAGCGCGACTACCAAATACAGTTATTGAATACATTGATTAGTTACAAGGATTCAAGTTGAAACCACGTCTCCCGTGATTTCATGCTTCGTGTCCTGACAGTACAAAGCCGTCGATTCACCAGCGACAGTCAAAGAGGATCGTTCCAAGGCTATGATTGAACAATCCCATACCAGCATCACCCAGCTAGCTAGCTGAATAACTGCTTACAAGGCCGACTCTCCAGGCTTTGCCTCTTCCTGTTGTTCGTGTGAATTGTTGTGCTCGGCCCCGCCATCACCATGACTGGTCAATCGCTTTACAATACTCTTTACTTGCTTGCTCTTCTCGGGTAGAGCAATCTTATTCTCCAGCAGCTTTTCTTCGAGTTCTTCTGCGTAATGTAACAATGCTTCCTTATCCTGCGCTTGGAATTCGGCAGTCAACTCAATCAAGCCATGACCAATCCGTACAAAGCGCCAAACTCGGGCGAGAATCAACAAGCCCGCCAAGGTCGCCAAGATATCTGCATGCAAGACGGCCAAGGCGATTTCCAATGCCAAACTGACCGAGACAATGACAAAATCCAAGACGTAGAACAACTGTTTGAAGAATGCCTTTTGGAGGACAATCATGATGATGATGAGTTCAATAAAGAAGATGCTCAAGATGGTAATTGTGAACACGAACAGAACCTCCTCAATGGTATGAACCATGTACCATTTGTGACCGTCACAACCAGCCTCGTAGTGATGACTTTCCACTGCGGGAAGTTGGCAAATATCCTGATGCCCGTCTCCGTGGGTGCCACTACTGTGGCTGTCACCAGTGGTTTCCGCCAAGAATCGGAAATAATGATTATGATCGTCCTCGGGATACATGTCGGTACTGTTGCCGCCACTACCATCATCTACTAGACCAGATAACGTTGTGGTAATGGTTTCGGGAAGGGGACAGCAGGAAATGGCATCCCGCACAATAATTTGGCAGTTCGGAAAGGAAGCCTGGAGGAAGAGCTCGACAAACAGGATAATGACATCTGCCAATAGCATTGCCGAAAGGGTATATTGGACAGGCTTGGAATGGACAAAGTGCAAGAGTTTGACCTTCCAGTGATCATGACCATGCGTTTCGGCAGCCGTGTGGGCAGCATCAAAGTCGGCTGGCACACGAATCGAAAACCGGTCCGTCTCCAATCCCCTGGTGGGGAGAAGGCGTCGCTTGCGATGCTCCTTCAAATACTTGCTGCTCGCTCCCATGGCGTTATCGTTGGATAGACTCATCCGGGAATCGCCCTTGAAATCCGATGCTGCTTCTTGTAGTTCTGATTGCGACATTGTGTGTATTGTTGGTTAGTAGCTAGTCTTGGCGCAGGTAGAGCTCCAAGAGGAAGAAAAACGAGGTTGGTTGAAGGGTTCTGTTGGGTGGATACCAATGGTGATGTCAATTGCCAGGGATTAGTTCGAGGATCTGCTCCCTTCTAAAGATTCCAAGGTATTCGATCTAAGGAGGGTTGTGGACAATCAGTTGTTGCCATTGAATACCAGATAAATGACTGCACAGTGATGGTGCTCGACTTGAGAATCCCTCCACTGTCACGGTAGACTACATGTACCCTCATCAACAGCATGCTGAGATGCTGCCATAAAAGAGCTAGAAAAGAACGTCGGAAGTCGGAACGGTTTCTCTGCGGAGTCTATTCTTATCCTTATCCTTATCCTTCGTCTTACTAGTACCCTTTTGCAGAGATCTTTCGCAGGGTTTCCGAAGGGGCCATCACGCAGCTTCAATCTCGATGCGGCTGACCCTGTCCGCTTGGGGACCTTCCCCCGCCTTTCCCCCCTGCGTTGACTGCTCAACATCGCACATGCGTCCTTGCAAACAAGACGGGCCTGCAATGATAGATCAATGAATTCGAAGTGCTCTCCGATGAGAGGTCGGTGTGAAGCATAAACTTATAAGCTAACCTAATAAAGGCGGTATTACACTGTGAGGTGGCCTTCTGATTACGGCAGGTCCGAGCTTCAATGGGGGATGCCCAGCACTTGACCCAGGAGGCATACTGAGTGGTGGAGCTTCTGTTGAATCTTGGTCACACTTGCAAGGATCCTTGTTTCAGCGTCAGGGTCAGTGTTGCTGTCATCAACAGGAGGTGGAGATGACGCATGATCTTCAGGAGGAGGGCAGAACCAGATGCTTGGTGTGAGCTTGGTTGGCCAACTAGGTTGCAGTGTACTTGGTGAGGTCAGCAAGAGCAGCTTTGCCTTTCTTCTGGATTTCCCATTCTTCTGGTCCACAACAAAGACACCTTGTTTGTTTTGAATCATGCGGCTTCCATCACCGCCCATGCGTCTCTAGCTAGCACTCTTGGGGATTGGGGGGCTAGAGGGACCTTTTGTGAAATTTAGCCTTCTTAACTGTTTTTCGGAAGGCTGTCCTGTTCTTGTAAATCTTGGCTTTGTCTTTGCGCTTGGTGCACTGGGGCAGAATGTGGTAAGGACTATCACAATTCCAACACTTGCGTTGAAGGCGAGGTGAAGAAGCACTTTGCTTCTGCTTGGTCTTGGTAAGCCATCCCTTCTCGCTGCCCTTCAGACGGTGGTACATGTTCTTGGCTTGATTACAGACCGTGGACACTTCAGGCCAGACTGGGTGGCCACCTATGCGATCAGCTTCGGCTCTGGCTTCTTCTATCTGCTTGTCAAATGCCCAATTGAACTCACCAACACTGGAACTAGCCATGATAGTGAGGACCTTAATTGGAAAGTCATAAGGGACAAGGTTGACTAACGAATTAGACTTCCTCTCAAGCAATGAGTGTACAGTCTTGATATGGTTCACAACAACATCCACATCTTCATGGGCTATGTCCTTGATTCTGAGAGTATCCAGAGAGTTCATGGCATTGACAATTGCGGTATAAGGGATCCTTTGAATGCGATGGTACAGCAGACTGTACAGCAATGGCCCTCCTTGGCAGGATTCTGGCCATGCGTTGTACTCAGGCAAGCACTTCTGCAGGAGCTTGGGGTCAGTGTTGTTCTGTAGGAGATTGTAAGTCATGGACATTTTCTCCCGAACATAGGGGCAGTGGTTCTTGCTCATACAACAATTGTACCAGTAGCAGCTTAGTGCAACAACTTCAGGACTAAGCTTGGCTGCATGCTGGATCAACTCCATTGTATGATCAAGGATCTTTGAAGTCCTAAGGAATCCATGCTCTGTGTCTTGAGGGAGCACGATCTGGAACACATCCAACAGGTCATAGCGCTTCAGATGAGTCCGGATGGACTCGATCTTGCGGTCAGACCGCTGGACCTCGGTGATCAATCCTGAGGTATCCAGGTTGGTCGGCAGTTCTGCGAGCTTGTTGCCCTTTCCTCGTAGAACGAAAGAGGAGGTTGCCTCGTTAATGAAGATCTGTTTGGTACGGGCATCGAGTTTTGCATGTTCTTCCTTGTCCCAGAAACGATCTGGAGCATAAGGCTGAGGCGTCAATGACACTGACAGAACACGTCCATCAATAACAACTTGAAAACCAGACGGTGGTGGGTCACCTCCTCCACCACAACCCGCATCGCCAGCTGGAAGTGGATTTGGAGTAGGAGGCGGCCCTTTAGGAGGCACTGAAGGTCTCGGAGGCGGCGGCAGAGGAGGATGTCCTTTGGGGGGACCAGGAGGATGTGGAGGTCCACCACCGGAAGGGGCAGGAGCAGTTTGTGGTGGACATGGAACTGGAGGTGCTGGAGGACCACCACTGGTGCCAGTAGCAGGACGAACTGGAGGAGCAGGCTGTGAAACACGTCGTGACGTTGGGAGTGGAGGAGGTCCTTTGGGAGGACCAGGAGGCTGTGGAGGTCCACCACCGGAAGGGGCAGGATCAGTTTGTGGCGGACGTGGAACTGGAGGCACTGGAGGTCCGTCACCAGAGCCAGTAGCAGGACGACCTGGAGAATAAATTCCTTTGAATCCTGGAGGAGGAGGAACTGGAGGAGCAGGCTGTGAAGCACATCGTGACATTGAGAGTGGAGGCGGTCCTTTGGGAGGACCAGGAGGCTGTGGAGGTCCACCGCCGGAAGGGGCAGGAGCAGTTTGTGGCGGACATGGAACTGGAGGTGCTGGAGGACCACCACTGGTGCCAGTAGCAGGACGAACTGGAGAATATATTCCTTTGAATCCTGCAGGAGGAGGAGGAACTGGAGGAGCAGGCTGTGAAGCACATCGTGACATTGAGAGTGGAGGCGGTCCTTTGGGAGGACCAGGAGGCTGTGCAGGTCCACCGCCGGAAGTGGCAGGAGCAGTTTGTGGCGGACGTGTAACTGGAGGCGCTGCAGGTCCGCCACCAGTGCCAGTAGCAGGACGAACTGGAGTATAAATTCCTTTGAATCCTGCAGGAGGAGGAGGAACTGGAGGAGCAGGCTGCGAAGCACGTTGTGATGTTGGGAACATTCTCTGTGGGCGTTGACCTAGGCTCTGTGCAATCGGCGCGAACTGGCCGGTTCGACCTTGAGTACAAGCAGTGCGCAGCTGTTCGTCTTCGTCTCGGGGAATCTGTTGACTGAGACGCCGCCCGTTGTGTTCAATATCAAATAAACTTGAGGGCCTTTGCGAGGCGCCATAGGGTAGTGGTGTCTGGATGTCGTATTGGTTCATCACGGTGGTATTCTCGTCGTCGTTGTGGTTTTCGTTGTGCTTTGGCTTTGGTTTGGCTGCAGGTGTCAAAAGACAACTTTAGAAGGGTAGTTCGGGTAAATTTGCTCCTAGTCTACTAGCTAGCTAGTAGGGTGTCTTTCGTCTTCTAGCGAAACCACCTTTGCCAAACTTCTCGTTGGGGAGGCTGTGGGTACCAGACACCAGGAACGTGCTGCCTGGCTAGCTAGATACAGTAGCTAGTAACCCAATTGGATGGCTCAGATCGGGCTGGTGAGGGTGTGTTAGCTACGAGGTGGTCTTCTCATTGGGTCCGAGGTCCAACTCGGCTGTCGCACCCTCGGAACAATCCGGTTCCCTCCACAAGGCATTGGTTCGATCCGTACCGGTACATGCAGTTGATTCAACTCAATTCCATTGATGCCACCATGCCCGCCGCCGCTTACAACAAGATCTTTACCCCTGAAGACTTGCGCATTGTCTTTATAGATCACCAGCCTCAAATGACATTCGGTGTTTCCAACATTGACAAGCAGCAGCTTCGTAATAGTTTAATTTTTCGAAGCTCCAATATGCCGATGCAATGGCTGTCCGCTGTCACGATCACTCGAGGGATGGTGAGGTACGGTCCCCCGCACCGTTTCTCCTCGCACCTCCTCTACCGCACCGGTACTACGTACGGTACCGGTGGCACCGCCAACCTCTCACACGAACGCTCTATTACCACCAACTGCTTCTTTTTGTTTTTTTAACCAGGTCACACTTCTTGCACGGGTTACCAAGGAGTACAATGTCCCTATCATATTGACTGCTGTCGAGGCGAGTCCTTCATTCTCTGGCTACATCCAGCCCGAACTCTTGGACGTTTTGGAATGTCAAAGATTGATTGTGGAGCGCACCGCATGAACTACTTGGATGATAAAGGCTTTCGTGCTGCAATTCGTGCCACTGGCAAGAAGAACATGATCATGACTGGACTTTTGAGCGAAGGCTGTGCGACTTGGCCCACTATTGAAATGTTGGGTGAAGGATACAACATTTTTATGGTGGAAGGTTGCTGTGGTGCCACCGGTGAGGCTGCTCATGAGGCTGCCTTGAGCCGCTGTAACTGTTCCCTTGACTACCATTCCTTGTCTGCTGGATGGCAGCGCGACTTGGCTCGTCGTGTGCACTACACAGGCTGCGACTATGACAACTTGATGAACTTGCTCAAGCCTCAAGCAGGAGCGGAGCGTACGTGTACGGAGTGGGAATTGAGCATTCCTACTCCATGGTGCGCAAGCAAATCCAGAGCACCAAGTATCCTCATCGTGGATGCAATGTTTAACATGTGGTAATTTTCGTTGGAGAAGCGTTTTAATAGTTTGTTGTTGCATGCGTTAGTAGGCAAGATATGTGTTAAAGTCCGCAAGCAACATCAAGACGAACCAACGAATGATTCAATCATAATAGAAAAGAAAATCGTGTAGTATACAAAAGGATTTGTTGATAGTTGATATTTTGCTTTTGTTGTAGACCATGATGAATGAACCTCTTCAGGACAATTTTAAAATTGAATCAAACAAGCTTTTGGCTTCTTTCCTTTCCTTCACATTACATACATACATGATGGAAATAATGAAGAAAGCACTTTAATCCTTCTTGACCATTCCCGTTCCAGAAGATCCTTGAGACAAATTGTTGAGGTAGTCTGTGGATCCTCGATTTCCATAGGTTCCCGAGGCCACACGATTGGCCTGTCGGTTGCTAATGGATGCTTGCAGTGCCTTTTGGTACTCGTCGGGTGACATTTCATCCATTCCCGGAATGACGTAGGTGTTGACGGTTCCCTTGGAAAGACCCATTCCACCAGTGCCGTCATATGCCGGTCCATCATCGTTGGAGATATCAATGCCATTGGCGTAATTATCATCCGTATTGGCAACAACAGGTTCTGGTCGGTCAGGGACCACACTGCCGGTAGTAGCAACAGCAGGGGTATCTTCCACAACACTACCGGTAGCGGTAGGAAGTCCTTCTGGAAATGCGGGAGCCGGTTTGGGACGGTTGTGTTCGTTCAATTTCATTTCTTGCAGAATTCGTTTCGTGGCATGCTCGAATTCTTCCACCTCCAACATGGACAGCGCCCCGGGGCCATCATTGACTCGTCGTTCCAATTTGAGCAGACATTGTTGCATATCATTCAACAAATCGTCTTCAAATAACTTGGGTGGTGGCACTGGCCTTAATGCCGCTGCTCCAGCACCAGCACGAAGCGCGGCTTCTTCGGCAGCCGTCAAACTATCACTCATGGAGAGGGCCGTATGCGGACAACGGCGTGGAGTCGAGAGACTACCAAATCCCAGCGCCCATGGGGCACAGAACAGTGTGATCAAGGAACTGGATGCCAACGAGAGACGCATTTTTCTTTTTGCTTGGAGCTAGCTAGGAGAGACGAAACCAAAATGGATACTATTTGTGAGACCGTTTGTGTTGTCCTTTGGCTTGAAGAACAAAACATCAACTCTCGTTCTGATCAATGCGTGGTTTGGAGGCTGCTTTGTACGTCAGAGGTTAATCTGCAATAGGGTTAGAGATAATTTGCATCCATTAAGGTTGGAGGCCAAAGATGTAACGTGACTCAGATAGGGTGCCGTTTGTTGTTGCTGGTTATGGAATTTCTATGCTCTTCTATTTCACGCAAGCCGTCACTAGGTTTTGTACCTACGAACCTCCGCCGAATAAGCGACTTGAAACCCGCAGGACATGAGAGCGGTGCCGCTCAGTTCTCATAAAATCACGAAACAAATTCACAAAAGCGCGTTGCTTTTACCTCTTGTACATAAAACTACAATTATACAATACAACAACAATACAACAACAAACTACAGTACAATGCCACTAACATCCAATCTCAACTCGAGCGACTATTACGAAATCCTCGGCTGTGATCGCAGCGCCGACGATGCCGCATTGAAGAAAGCGTACCGCAAACTGGCCGTCAAATGGCACCCCGATAAGAACCCCGGCAACGAACAAGCCACCAAGAATTTCCAGAAAATCAGCGAAGCTTACGCGACGCTATCCGATAAAAAGAAACGACAACTCTACGATCAATATGGAGCCGAAGGAGCGAATATGTCCGACCAAATGCCGGATGGTCCTCCTGGTGGTGGTGCTGGATTTCCCGGTGGATTTGGAGGAGCCGGTGGATTTCCAGGAGGCGGAGGAGGTGGAATGCACCACATGTCTCCCGGAGATGCCGAAGCCTTTTTTGCACATTTCTTTGGAAGTGAAGATCCCTTTGGTGGATCTTTTGGTGGAATGAGAGGCGGAGGAGGAAGTCCATTCATCAACATTCAGACACAAGGTGGTGGGCCACGCGGCAGTCAAAGAATGTCTGGTGGAATGCCCATGGGTGGCGATCCCTTCTCCATGATGTTTGGTGGGGGAATGCCTGGAATGTCATCCTCCATGGGAGGAGGAATGCCTGGAATGGGAGGAATGCCTATGGGTGGCATGGGAGGAGGAATGCCTGGAATGTATCATCAACAACAACAGCAAGCTCCATCGTTTGACTCTATTCCGCCTGGAACTGTAGTTTCCTTGAAGGGACTGCGCAGCAAACCAGAACGAAATGGAGACAGAGGAGTCATTCAACAATACAATCCACAAAATGGAAGATACTTTGTACAGCTCGAGGATTCCGACGAAGTCATGGCGGTCAAGCCACTCAATCTGCTCCAGCACGTACATGTCAGACTGCACGGCATTGAGTCCAAACCAGAACTCAACGGCAAGACGGGAACTATTATTGCATGGAATCCCAATGCCGAACGATATAGCATTTATGTCATGGCAAACTCCAAGGCCGTCAGTCTCAAACCCCACAATGTCATTCTCGACGCGGGCACTGTGGGACAAATCTTTGGTCTGCTGTCCAAGCCCGAATTGAATGGAAAATGGGGAACCATCAAGGAATGGGACCGCAATGCCAACCGATACAATGTACAACTCTCACACGACAAGATTATTCGGGTCAAGGTGGAAAATATTCGAGTATAGAGTTAGTTTCTCGTTTGAGTTGAGAAACAACTCACTCACTTGTCCCGATTCATAACACACAAATATTGTACTTCATTAGTCAAGATAACATAACAAGTATACCACACTGCAAAAAATGAAAATAACTACCTTTGTATCCCGCGCTGATCTCGGAAGCGCACAAAACACAACTCGAGCTCTCCTTCATCTTATCATATGGACGAGGACATTGAAGATCTTCTGAAACTCGGACCGTACGATACGGTTCCTACGAATTACTCTCACCTCCAAAACGCTTTGATGAAGCTATACAGTCTTTTCGGATGTCTTTGCTGAGGTCGCCCAATTAATTGTCAACCTGCTCAGTACTTCAATGCCTGTTCTTCGCTTCTTTGTTTGTGTGCTCGTGCGTGCCGCTGGCAATCGCCCAATTGCCTGACCAGGAGCAACCAGAAATGAAGAGCCCGCAAAGGATAGCAGTAGGTAGCTAGCAGTCTTTGACGACAACCTTCTAATACTGAAGTTTCTTCTTGACGAGAAGGAATGTGCTTTCATGATTCGATTCGTAGCAAGCAAAGAAAACCAGGAGCAATCCCTCACGGGCTGCGAGATGTCATGATTGTTGGTTTAGCATGTTTTTAAAAAGCAGCTAGTCACTCTTCAAACGACTCGACTCCTCTCAGAGTCACTCCCAGAGCTCTTCGGGCAACCATTTTGCTGCGCCCATTGCGTCATTTCCATTTCATTTTCACCAACAGCGAGGAAAGTCTGACTACCGTACTAGTCTCCCGTGGAGAGCCATTTTCTCGAGCACCACCTTTCCAACTAGACTACATGTACCCAAAGTCCATATTCGAGCCGTACGTGGGACGAGCAGGCAGAGCGAACAAAAACAGCAAGAGTCAAACGCTCCATCAGCACGAAATTGCCTGCGATGATCGAACTAGTCTAACTGTAATTGAAACTACTGTATGATACCTTCCTGAAAATGTGCTTTGCAGTGACAAGACGGCAGCTAAAATACCTGCTTTTTCAAGACCATCCTCGAATGCGCCCAACAAAAACTAAGAATGAAATTGTCCTAGCTAGCAAGCAAGGTGTTTCCAGGTGAATGAATAATCCATTTCAGTGCCCTAGCTAGAATACTCTGGAAGAAGTCTGGCTGATCTGACACAAACAAAACCATCCAGCATTCAACAAATGGTGCTCAAGAAAAGCAATGGTCCCATATTTTAAAAAGAAGGACCATCTCGACGAAGGGAGTGTATTGTGTTCCAAAAAAGTTTTCTAGCAATTCCAATTGAAAGTTGCGTGTGTGTGTGTGTGTGTATTGGCGTGTCAAATAAATTATCCCTCTTTAGAACTGGCAAAAGAACTTGGGCTTTGGTTTTTCCTTTTTCTCCTTTTTGCTGACCCCTCTCGCTTTGAGCATGTGGGAATACTTCTTTGCTTTATGGGCCTTTCTCTTCGGTGCCTTGTTTTCTCCCCTCAGCAAATCAGTATTGACTGGAGCGGTGGTGGTCTCCAAGGCATCCGCCACGCCACCATCCATTTTCGAGTCAAAATCTTGGGGTGTGGGAGTTTCGGAATTTCCCAATTGCTTGGATAGACGCTGTAAACCCTCCATACTGGTAGATTGCTTTTCAATGCAGTCCTTGAGATTCTTCTGTGTCAGTTCCATGTTCTTGTTGTAGGCATCCTGGATTCATTCGATTCGATTCAAGCAGTAGCAGCAACAGCACGGGAAGAGTCAGCCACAGAAAAGCGAGCAAAACATCAACATTTATAGAAACACTCCACTCAATACGTACCGTTCCGATCGTCTTACGGAATTCTGTGCGATGCTTTCGCTTTTGCTTTGAACGGATGGACTTGCCCATGGTAAACTGCTTTTGTATCACTTCTAAAGATGGATTGTTCTGAAAGGGAAAATAACAGACCTCTTTCCAACGTGTTGTGCCGAGAACTTGCCTCGATCGTCTCGAAGAATTTGATGTTGTGGTGGGAGTTGGCATGGATGGACCTGCGAGTTGGACCAAGCTCAAAACCTGTTTGCTCCCCCGTTTAACAGTCCACTGTGCGACCTTGTTTCAAACGACGAATGCCTTCCAAGGTGTTTTCCGGCGTTCTTCTTCGGGTTGCTGCGCTACATGACCGTTCTTGTTGACGCCACAGTAGCGTTGTCAAAGAAGAACACAAGCTAACCACATCACAGCAGTGTCTCGAAGAAAACAACAGCACAATGCTTTGAGAGGAACCTACTACCGGTACTCAGTACGCTGTATCTCGCTTGCCAGCTAGTACTATGGATATCATGAATGATCTTGACAATGTCTTCACGGGTGAGGATTTTCGTGCAAGTGACTTCCTATGGGAAGGAACCTCAGAAGAAGTTGGCACCAGTTCTGCTCCCGAAACTGAAACGGAGAGCAACTCTCTCAGCAGTCAAGTGTAAGAGGGAGATTGTCGGAAGCAACAGACAGATAGCGGAGCTGCCAGTAGAGATTCTGAAAACGAGGCATCTGAACCAGCACCCAAGATCCACGTACCCAAACGACCGCCAAATGTTGCCAAATCCAGAGCCATTGCCAGGAATAGTACTGCAGTATTTGAAGCATCACAAAGACTCTTGAGCCAATACAGCCCAGAAAAAATGAAAGCTACTCCGGAAGAAAGAACACAGGCTTTGGCCATCAAACGCACCATTGAGAGCATACCAGATTTGGAAAATTTATCGGACAGGCTTTACTGTCACCTTGCCATTCTTGGTAGTGGAAGCATTGAATGGGCTATCAATCAACAAGGCCTACAAGATGCAACATTTTAAACGGGAGTACAGTGTCCTGGATACGGCAGAGGACTGTCTAAGACATATCCCCCAATTTACCAAAGGCAGGCTGGTTCTTTCTGTGGACTTCAATCTACATGACGGTGGCTATATTGTGGCATTTGATGGACCGAAGAATGACTGGAGTGATTTTTCGACTCCAGAGAGACTTCGTGCTAAAATGCAGAGGGGATATTACCTGCCCCAAATCCTTTCTCCTGATTTGGAAGCAGTGAGAGTCGGCATCACTTTTCTAATGGAATGTGAGGGATGGCAAGCACATTTTGACAACACTGCCCTGAGAAACTGGCGATTAGGGACAGCTGATTCCTATGATGTTGCCCCGGCCAAACATGTCAAGGTCAAATTCTTCAACAGTCCTCGGTTCGTGGAGGTAATGTTTAGCTTTTTGAAGCCTCTACTGTCAAAAGAGATGTCCTCAAAGCTGCAATTTGGCTGCAAGTTTCCTGGTGGTAGATTGGATAGGTGCTTCAATGTTCCAAGTGCAGAAGCAGCCACAGAAAGACTAGCTGCAAAGTTGGAGGAATTGATCATAAAAAGATACGAAAATGAAAGGAATTTCTTCCTGGAGGATGCTAGTCTTGAAACTGAAGCATCAGACACAGCATCAACAACATAAAAGGACTTCTTTGCTTTGATATCCCGCTCTGAACAGGGAGTGATGGCGCTGCTATAGGTTTGGTCTACTGGCATTTTTGAACCTTCGAGGCGGTCCATGTCAGTGTAGCAAGTCCGTGGGATGTTTACCAATCCAAGCATGCACAGTTATCGCGTACCTTACCTCAGATGTCATTTCCAACCATCACACATCACTTTGGCAGCGGCAATTCCGTACAGCCCACTGTTCAAGTTGGCAAACTCGGGATTCCACTACCATGGAATCCATGTCCATTCCAGGTGGCTATCTAATGAAAGCATTGCAAAAGGTTGTGTTGGATGGAGCTAATTTTAAAAAGTAGGACGCTACATGTATCTTCTCTTGTTTTTGTTTCTTTGCCCCTCAAACAGCAGGGGTGGGTCCTGCGAGGGGCAGGTATGGGGATGTGGATGCCAGTTGCTTTCTCAGCCGTCCAGGCACAACATGCAGTGGATTTCTTGAAATGAATGTGTCACTCTCCTCAGTAGTGTGTAAAGTGGGGCTCCAGCTACCATGTATGGCCACCCTTTATACGACTGAGTTCATGCAGGATATGTAGAGAGGGGTGTATTGTGTCATGCAGAGAGTTGTGTCTGGGGTTTGTGGCGCGGAGGCTCATCTTTTGTTGTTTATGGTTGTTTGTCACTTGAGGTGTTAGCTCTTGGAGAGAGCTACGGTATGGTGGATTGGTCAGTAATCAGCTTAATCAAATGGAAGCAGCTTTCCATGAGGTTGTGTTCGGCACACGTTGTCACTCTCCTCTTCAAAAGGCTCCAGCATCGGCAAGCTCCAAGTCATTGGTTGCCATGACATCATAGATGCAGTGATCCTTCTCATCCCACCTCCAGTGGGCACATGCTGCCTCAGCCGCTTCACGAGTGATCGTGTTCTCTCCCAAGCGACGATGGTTTTTACTGGCAGAATCAGGCAGAATGCACTTGGCAGGGAATTGTGGGTGACGATCTCCCTCAAAGAATAGCTTGGGATCGCTGCGAGCAAAGGCATTGGAAGTGCAAAATGGTGAGTGTGCTACTGTACTGGCTGGATCTCTTCTGAAGCAAGCTGAAGCAAGCAAGATATGTGTCAAGTCGAACTCACCCATCGTTGACCTGCCACTCTTGGCCAAATTCATTGGGGTCTTCGATCACTGTCACCCCATCCCGCGCAAGCTTTTTACCGCTGCTGATGGAGCCCATCAATCCAGAACTGTTGCCAAACCATTCATGCATCTCTGGACTTCTGTAGCCCTCACCAGGATTGAGTTTGATTGAAACAATGTCCTTGTTGGTGTTGATTGAAAGAGTGACGTTTCCACCAAGGTCAATCAAAAAGGAGTGCTGCTTCTTATTAAGTTGAATAGAGGCAATGGGATAGCCCTCCAAAGTAGCTTCGGTCAAATCAGCAGCGCCGACGCCGTTGAGAATGTAGTCCCCCCATCCAGCAATCTCCAGAATCTCGTTACCAATGCGAATACTAGCACTCAGAATGTACGAGTAGGCTGGGCAAGAATCAGATTTGAATGCGCTAAACCGACACGACAAAAGCAAGCTGAAAGAACGAGCATGCTTACCATATCGGATTTTTGTTCGGGCATGGATGTCCAAACCAATGCCGTTTCCAAAGTTTGGGGCATGGCTGAACACCATGTCGCACTCGCCTGTGTAAACCGTGAAGAAGAGAGATTCTTTTGATGAGAGCACTTTGTCCGTGCATGTGAATTCAAAACTGTAGTCAGCACAAGCGCACCATGGTAGTCAAACCAGCCTCCAAGCAACTGCTTGATGTGGGGCTCGCCAATGATCCCACCACATGAACAAAAATATGCGCAACCAGGCTGAATATCATGAAAACTTCGGAGTCGTCGATCGTTGTTGTCGCTGTTGCCGGCCTGGGGTGTTTTAATCCGGAGGATTGATGTCTTTGTCTCCTTGTTCTCTGTAATTAAGATATCGTCATTTTCGCAGATTTTGTAGATGACCTCTTTGGCATCTTTGACAACCTCTCTGATAGTCTTGCCGATCTCTTTGACAACCTCCCTGATAGTCTTGCCGATCTCTTTGACAACTTCAACGATTGAATCCCACCAGCCCCTATCTTTATCTTCATCTTCATCCTCGTCCTCTCCCTCGAGAATCCTTGACTTTTGCAATGCTGACAGGGCTTGTGTTTGATCCGGTCCTTTGGCTGCTCCTAAGGCTCGACGCTCTCCATCCACCACCACATGGTATGTGCTTTTCATAGACAAGAAAAGGTGATGGTGAGTTCTAACTTGAAGTGAGTCGGTTAGTCTGTTTTAACGAAAAGTTTCTGTTTCGCTTACAATTGAACACAATGTGGCTCTCCATCTTGCAAAATGCCGAAGGACGCGCCTTCTGTGAGCACACAATCTTCCAAGGTAGTATCAAAGATCGCTTGATCGGGGTAGACACCGCCGCAGTTACTTGTTGAGAAGCAAGCACCAAACCCACTGTCCTGGGCTTTGCCCTCAGGGAGAGCAAGGAGCCCAGCGATGATGATAGAGAAAACCGAAATCTTCATTTTGAGAAATCCTTTGATCGTTTCCTTGTGTCCGTGCTGGGAATTTGTGAGCTTTCCACTAGAGAGGAAAAACTTTGTGCTTGAATCGGAGAAAGATATCTGCGACCGGAAAGCTCGTTTCTGATGCTTCGCAAAGCCTGCCAGCCACGAACGAGATCAACATTCAACAGCCTCTTGGTCAGATTGAGGAGAGGATGTTTGCTATATAGATTGTGGCTTCAATCCGCAATCCTGTTGTTACCTTCATCGCGACGAGGATGTTTGCTATGTAGGTTGTGATGGGTTCATTCGGGAATCATGTACGATGATCTCTCCCATAGCTTGTGGCTTGATTCGAGAATCCGCATATGCCTCCATCGCAACAAGGAAGTTTGCTATACGGATTGTTGTGGTCATTCGGGAATCATCTGGCGATCTTTACCATCGATTGTTGTTGCTTCATTAGGGATTCAGCATATGCCTCCATCGCAAGGAGGATATTCGCTCTACAGGTTGTTGTGGGTCCATCCAGGGATCCCCTGGCAACCCTTGCCGTATATCTTGGTCGAATTCCCGACTTATGCCTCCCTCGCACCGTCCAACATCGTATCAACTAATGCAGCAACTGGTTCTTGTGCTTCTGTGGCTTTGCTGCGACCTGTTGTGCGTGTTCGGGTCAAACGATGCGTGGGAGTCTCAGTCATGCTACTAGCTAGCTAGTAGCATGTTCCATTCACACATGAGAGCAGCAACCATGATTGAATGTTCGTTGGATGATCAACCGTTCACATCGATTTCATTCGTCAATAGATAAGCCTGCATAGCTGACCGTTGGCAAAGAGTGTCTCGGAGAAGATCGTCTGGTGCAACGTACAGGATCCCATGTTACCGTCGCTGATACTTTGACACCAGAGAAGGATACTTAGCGACAATCCGTTGGGTATTGGGCAGGGCGCAGCATTTACTCTCACTGAACACTGAAGGGAAGGAATCCGAGGACACGGAATGGTTTTTGGGACGGCCCTCTGCTGCACGAGAAAAGGAGAGAAAGCAACATGGCAAGTGTTTATGATCTCTCCTGTTGCACCAGTCTGCCGCTAGAATGGATGTACGATAAAGACGACGATGGAGATTTGACCGTTCCACACAAGGAACTCGACAAGCCAGACTCAAGTTCGACGTTGACACCAGAAGCGGCCGTGGAGGCCAGGAGACGCGAGAAAGAGGAAAATGAAGCGTTGGGGTGGACTCTGGATGCAGCGGCCAGGGGAGTGGCAATAATGGGAACGGCAGTATTTGTGAGCTCGGAACTTTTACGATTGGCAAAGAATGCGGCCGGTTGTGGTGGTGAGGATGCCAACGAAAGCGGTGAGAGATGCGAAAACCGAGTCTATGGGATGAAGCCAACGTCCCTGCTGACCAACATTATGACGATTGTGGGCCTGATATCAGCCTTCCTGATGCCGCTAATGGGGTCCGTCATTGACCATACATCCTACAGAAGACAAGTTGGGAGGGTATCCGCTGCTCTAATGACGATATTCATCCTCCTGCAGATGCTGTTGCTGCCCAATCATTGGTTTCTTGCCTCCATCATGCAAGTACTGGTGGCATTCTCCTATTTGGTGCATTTGACCGTTGTCTATGCCTATCTGCCAGAACTGACCACCAGCGCCGAGCGCTTGTCAAATTACACAGCCAAGTTCACAGCTGCTCAGTACTCATCTAGTGTACTGTTCCTTGTGCTCATGGTCATCATCCTGAGTGCAGCACCAAACAATCTACTGGAACGGTATGCCTCGGTGGACTTTTCCCAATCCGTCATTGTCTGTATCTGTGCGGTATTCATGGGGTATGCATGGACCTTTCTCTTTCGGAAACGACCAGCATCCCAACACGTCCCGGAAGGAAGCACTCCGCTGACAGCGGGATTTTACAAGATCTTCCAAACATCACAGACGATTATGCTGCACCACAGTGCCATCAAATGGTTCCTGATATCCGTAGTCTTTACAGAAGCCGCTACCTATACCTTCTCCACAATAGCTATTACATACATGACGGATCAACTGAACTTTACCTCCAGGGAAAATGGTATCTGCATCTTAATCTTGCTCTTGTTCGGGGTACCAGGAACTCGCTTGGCAGCATGGACCAATAGGATCAATCCAATACGAAGCCTTCAAGCATGTCTCTTGCTGTGGATAGCCACCACGACTCTGGCAGCCATCTTTCTGAAGGATCCTGGGCAACAGCACTATGCCTACGTCTTTGCCATCTTTTGGGGTCTCTGCTTGGGCTGGATCCATCCAACCGAGAAAACCTTGTATTGCACCATAATACCAAGAGGGCAAGAGGCAGAGCTCATGGGCACCTACATTTGTGCGGGCCAAATCCTTTCGTGGATGCCGTCACTGGTGTTTAGCGTCATGAACGAGGCTGACATTTCCATGAGAATAGGTCTCTTCTCTCTGACGTTCTACTGCATTGCCAGCTTTTTCATTCTCTTTTTGGTGGGAGATTACGAAGAGGCCGTGTCACACGCCCGCGACTTTGACCATACCAAACCATCGAAAGACGACAGTAGTAGCGACGACGATCCCTACGAAGGTCACAGACGGCAACGGCAGCCGGAAGCAGACTTTGTGATAATAAGCGACTACGAAGAAGCTGTGGCCCATATGCGGTCGCTGTCCATTGCCGACGACAGCGAAGCTTCGTCAGCTTATGTCCCGCAATGCTGACGACACGACGAGAACACAACAAAGCAACGCACTGCTGTACCACTAGTAAACTACACGTGATAAACCACACTGCTATTCTCTCATGTCATTCGCTCATGATCACCAGTAGGTAGCTTTCAGTTAGTTACCTTTAGCTACCTCTCGAGAGGCTTCTACATCCGCGCACAGTTGTGTCGCCCTGGAGTCTCTCGTGTCGATTGATTGGTTAGTGCCACTACGTTAGCTATCGATAGCTAACGCTCCGCGGCGACTTTTTGATTGGCTGGTTCCACCACATGAATCCAGTGCCGGTACTTTTGCGAAAGTGTTGCGTCGGATCCAGTTTGTATTCCGGTCAACATTCTAAAGAGCTTCTCGGTCAAGGGTCCTGCCGAAGATCCAAAGACGATTTCGTCCGTGACGTTTCCATCGGCCTGAGCCACACTAATGGAACCGACGGGTGATATACAGGCTCCCGTGCCACAGCAAAATGCCTCCTTGGCCTGTTTGAGTTCCTCCAGTGTCAATCGTCGTTCGACGGGTGTCAGTCCCAATTCTGCGGCTGCCAATTCGAGAATGGATTGTCGTGTGACTCCTGGCAAGATGGTTTCTTGTTGGAGGGAGGGTGTGACAATGGTATTGTCGGGGAATATGGCAAAGAAGTTGGAGGCACCGGCTTCTTCGACTGCTTCTCCACTAAACGTACAACAATGACAAAAGCAAAAGTAAGTATCCAGATGAGTTGACGAATAGATGTCATTCTTCTGTTTGCTTGTTGGTTTCTTTGCATGGTCATTGTACTACGCACCTGGCAGCATCTAAACAAAGAACCTCATCGAATCCCCGTTGTTTCACTTGTCGTTGCACCGCAAAGGCGGGTGCATAATTGCCACTGGCTTTGATGGCCCCGGATCCTCCGGCAGCCGCCCTGCTAAATCCCTGTACGGCTTGCAATCGAATGGCTTGAATACCGCCCTTGAAATAATTTCCCACCGGACTGGCATAGATGCAAAAGGTACTTTCGGAACTGGGTTTGACCCCCAATCCTTCTCCCGTGCCCATGAGTAGGGGCCGCAAATAGAGGGCTCCTTGACCGTGCGGAGGGACCCATGCGGCATTTTCTCGTACGACGGCATCGACGGCATGCAAAAATGTGCGTTCCGGCACGACGGGCATGCAAAATCGTTCTGCGCCCTGGGCCATGCGTTGGGCGTTCTTGTCGGGTCGAAAAATGGCAATGGATCCATCGGGACGACGACATGCCTTTAATCCTTCAAAGAGAGCTTGGCCGTAATTCAAGACGGTGGCGGTGGGAGAAAGTTGTAAATCACCGAGGGGTACCAGGCACTGCGAATCGTCGGTGGAATAATGAGTGGAGTCTCCGTCACCCGCGGTACTAACTCGATCCAACCACATTTTGTCGGTGCGAACATTGTTCAAGCCAAAGCCAAAACTCTCCCAGTCAATGTTGTCTTTGGGAGGAGCATGTTGACCACCACCACGAATGCTCCACACACGTGGGTGTGTGATGGCCATGATATGGCTAACAATAGTCGCGAGGAACAGGATAGCAAAGGTGAAGGTGTGGCAACGGTTGGAAGGAGTCATAGTGAACTTGTTCTTCCTTGTCGGGCCTCAGACAAAGAATTGTGAGAGGAATCTCTCTCTCTGCCAACAGCAGCTACCGCAATACGGTATGGTATGGTACCAATGGAACCCACACCGTTGATTGAGATGGTGCAGGATTGATGCCGTCGACCCTTTCCGGTGGGTTCCCATCGTCGGAACATGCATTGGCTCTTTGTTCAATGGTTGAAACGTGTGCGATTATCTTTGGATGACGTCATCAGGTTATGGTACAAAATGAAAGTACCGGTATCCATGTCTGAAAAGATCCAAAACAAACAACCAAACAGCAGCAAAGCAAAGCAAAGCAAAGCAAAGAGCTTCGAAGCGAACCGTACCAAGCAAAAGCTGGATCGAATAGATAGATGATGATACGATGGTCCTACCCCGTTCCAAGCCTCGTTCCAAACCACGTCCCAAGCCACTGCACAAGAATGTGGTGTTTCTGACACTGATGGCACTCATCGTCGCGTTCATGATGATGTCAGTCATTTTATACGCGAGAATCAAAGAGGAACCAGACGACGATGATCTCGTCCCCAAGAATGGGATAGAGCACCATCACAAACATCATCATCACCGTCATCATCATCATAATCCTAAAGAACCACCTCCCAAGGACACTTCATCCTCCTCGTCCTTATCGGAGCAATATTTGGGAGTGCCGCCCGAACAAGCCATTGCCAAATTCCAAAAGGATCAAGATGATGCCAAGGAGGCACGACGGAAACAAGGAATCCTTACTCCCCGAGAAACGTTTGAACAAGAACGATTCGATCCTGAGGATTGGGAACGAATACTCAAGTCCGTACAGGCGCAGCGAATACCCGAGATTCCGAATATTCCGAATAAAACGTTACAAGAAGAAGAAGAAGAAGAAGAGGAAGGGGACGAGGAAGCAGCGAGAGAACCAATCTTGGTACCTTATGATATTCATGACTGTCCCTTGGAACCACCTCCCAATTATCCCGTGGCATGGAATGTCATGCAAGTACTCGACAACTGGAATCCCGATGATACCGAACTATTGCCAAAGTATATTTATCAAGGAGTTTGTGTCTTTGACTGGAACAATCCAACACATTCCCAAAAAGCTGAGAATTATCGACGACACGAACTACCCTTTGTTCTGCAAAACTACCCCGAAACAATGCGTGCTGCCGAACGATGGATGACACCGGGCTATCTACAAGAATTAGCGGGCAAGGACGAAACCTTTCCCACGGAACATTCCCGCAACAATCATTTTCTATTTTGGAGCAACACGGCCGCTGTTACCAAAAAAACACCTCAAGACTATGTCCCTCCCACCGACATGGTCGACATGACCTTGGCACAATGGCACGAAAAAGCCGATGAATTGGAACACAAACGACGACAAACCCGACAAGAACACTGGTACTTGCGTCTCAATGCCATGTTGCACAATCATGCCTACTTGTACGAAGAATTGCCATTCTTTGATCCCACCTTTGGAAAATCCATCACCATGGTGATACCCGAAGAACACCAGGGAATCAATTGCCGATTTGGTATGAAAGGGACAATTGCCGAGGCTCATTACGACTCCTATAACAACTTTATTGCCATCTTGGGGGGACGACGAAGGTACGCACAGACATGCATGCATGAGAAGTATCGGCCACATGTGAACATCATCGATCTCAAATGAACAATTCCTTTCTCTATCTTTAGATTCATTCTGGCTCACCCCGACCAGTGCGAGAATTTGGAACTCTATCCTATGGGTCATCCAAGTGCCCGGCATTCGCGGATAAATTGGTCCAATGCCTACTCCAAGTGGCATGATAGTGAACGCCTCTTTGCTCAAACAAGAGTCAATGAACTAATATTGCAGACTGGTAGGTCGTCTGTCGACACTTTTTGATCGAATGGAATTCGTGATTGTAACTCACCACTCGTTTTGATCGTTGACTGACCACCTCCACTCTTCTTACTTGTCCCTGCAACTTTCGTAACGACCTTTTTGTTGGTGAGTGGGCTGCTGACAATTGGTCTTGCACTCTCTATACACTTTGTGTCCCTCTGCATACACAACGCCGACATGCACTCATTCGTTCATTTTCGGTCTCAATCATGCATTCGCCTTCTTGTTGGTTCCAGCAACCTCTCACAGGTGACATTCTATTTTTGCCCACATTTTGGTTCCACTTCATCGTATCTCTTACCACAACCTATCAATGCAATTCACGGTCTGGATCTTCCAAGGAATATGAACACCACATTAGCAAATGCGGCTTTGGACCACGGACAGAATACCAAAGAAAAGAAGTGTAGAGATACTACGGTAGCTAGAGCTTGGATGTTTATTTCCTTGGAGCCGAGTCGAGTCCTTGCACGGCAAGATAAACTGACAACTGCTATGCCAACATAAGGATACTGGTAGGACTTGCAACCTTGGAGGGCTATAGAAGCACTCGAATCGGCTGAGGTAAGAAGTTTTCAAATTGTGCTTTCGAGCCGTACAGCACTTTCTACCCGTACTGCGCTGCTGCTGGCGATTAACCGATGCAAGGAATGAAACAAAGCACAACTCATAAGGGCGTTAAAACACGAGTCTTCATCATAGGAATCGCCATCATCAAAGCTTTCACAATCGCTTGTGGCATTTCCCGTCTCGATCCAATTTCGGACTTTGCGAACAAGGCCGGGAAGGTCAGGGTAAAGCAGAGCCAAGTCTTTCAAATTTGCGTTGGAGTCATCTTCGTTGTCACCGCAGTGGGTGACGCTGTCCTCGCCGATGGAAAATTAGGTAAACAGCAAGGGTGTTCGAAGCGATCCCATCATGCCCAGCAATGCGTGCCATGCTTTGTAGTTTTCTTGCTCGCAGTAAGTGATACTAGTATAATTGACAGAAGCGGCTTTCCCCCCAAAGCGTTTCTCGGGATCAACACTGTGAAATTCAACGATGGTGTTGATGACGAATTCGACAAGCTCCCCGGCCACTTTGCTGCCATCTCCGTAAGGGGCCAGTATCAAGGGAAGCTCGGTTGTGGCGAACCACTCCAGCCCTCGTTGATAAAGGATACAGTCAAAGGCATCATGATTAATAGGCAATGTCGTCATCAATGAGCTTCTGTAGGCGACTCAAATCGCTGTGAGCCTGCGCCATCATCTTGCCGTCAGCCACGTATCGCATTTGCACCTTCCGAAACTTTTCCTGGAAGATTAAATCCAAGCCACGGTCGTCGTTTTTGTCAGTGTAGCGATCCTTGATCGATGTGAGGAGAGAGCTCACAGCCGGAAAACACAATAATGCGCTTATTATTCCACCATTCTCGGGCGACTTGTAGAGAGGATGACCCTGACCAGCCAACTGTTGGCCGTTCCATCCGACACGGCAGCAAAATGCATTGCCGCTCTTGGAACAGGCTAGTGGAAAATCAAGTTGTTGAAAGATTTTCTTTGACTTGTAGGTCCTTTGGAAGGCTATTAAATTCCGGGCATCTTGTTCACGGTCCCCTTGCTCCACTGGTAGCAAACCACTCATCATGCACGCAGCCGTATGCGGACTGGCGCAGGTATCAAGGACCGTTAATACGCTCGTAGTTCCGCCGACATGCGGAAAACGCAAAGCTGGCTGTGCTGCGTTCCCGCACTTCACGTGCGTGCTCCTCACATCGCCCGTACCCATGCCATGGCCAGAAAAAAAGCGGAGACTGCAAGCCGGGAGAACCTCATGACCAACGGCAGCGTCGTTGTACACTTGAAGGAAATACGCCAAGTAGTCTGCGGGCACGAGACGTTCGCCATCTGCAAGATTTTCCATATAACCAGCAGCGCCCGCTTTTACGTTCCAGAACTGCTCGTCTTTGCCAAGGTACTGATGTGACAAATAGAGCCGCACCTGATTAGCAGGGATGCCGAGAACAAAAGGAGGCAACGCGGCAGCATAAATTTGAATCCACAAGCCCTCGTTCTGGTAAGGTGGCTCACCATCCCCGAAGATCAGCTGCACAGACACTTTATCCAGTGTATCAGGCGACAAATTATCCATATATATTGTCTCACGAGAGAAGTTTTGGAAGGAGGAGGGAGCGAAGTCAGGTGTCCATCTTCGTGTTGTTCGCTGTTCGCTGGAAGACAGTTTGCCGTACAGAACTACCCGTACATACTTTGCTGCTGACGAGGAACCGATGCAACGAATGAAACAAAGCAATACTCATGAGGAAGAGGTGGTGTTATAAGATTTGTGCTATTGAATTTACTATTCGTACCGGTGTTTCTCAGTGTGCAGAATTGTTGTGTGGTCATTGCTTTTGTCATCTCTTTGGTTGGAAGCACACATGAATTGTCATACAAAAATTACTTTACTTCTTTTCTGGCTTTGGACGATCTTTCTTGATGCCTCCAATAACAACTGCATCTTTGTGTCTTGTGGGTGCCAAAACTTCTTGCACCATATACCTAGCCACATCCAGTTTGGCAATTTCCATGTGCAAATCTGTGTCCTTGTGTTTTTCAGTTTGCAAGTGCCACTCATTTTCGGGCACAAAATCTTCTCCAATTCCCACGGGTCGTACTAGCAAGTAATCCAAATCCGAGGCTCGATAGGCATTTTCCATGTCGGCCAAGTCTCTGTATGCCTTGCGAGCAAACACGGTAAAGATGAGCGACATGGCCTTGCCAGCCCAATGAAACTCTGCCGGTGGCCAATCTTCGTTGATTCCCATGGAGGAACAGACCACGGCTCGTTGGATGGAGTGTTCCTTCATGGCAGAAATGACGAGTTGATTGCCCTCCAGAGAACACCAGCTATCGGGTTTGACACCCATGAAGGTAGGTTGGCGGTTTCCCACACAAGAAATCACGGCAGTAGCGTCCTTGAAGTGAGAAATCAAGCTTTTATCACTCCAGTCCTTGACATGAACCAGATCAAACAGTTTCTTTTCTTCTTCTGTAAACTTGTGTTCCTCGGTACAGCCACAGTTCCAGTTGGGTTCATCGAGAAGTTCGGGATAAGGTGTCAACACTTTGATGATTCCTTCGACTTCTCCCTTGAGGCGTTTTTCTACCGCCACTTGGACAGCGTGCCGTCCAACATCGGAGAGACCTCCCATTCCATACAATATCACAAGTCGAGTCATTGCTGGTGTCATTCTTTACAGAGAGACAAGAAGCGAAAGTAAGTATGGTTGTTATGATTGATTACCCGACGGTGGCTGGTACAGTCACCTTGATGAGAATCGAATCGAATCGAGAATGATGCAAGATGCAAGAGTGGATCCAAAGATCCAAAGATCCAGACTCCACGACTCCAAGTCGTGTCGATTCTGAGGTGCACTAGGGCTAGAGATACCGGTAGTCTCGAGTGAGTCAGAGTCGAGTCGAGTGACAGTTGATCCCATCTCTTCTTCCTTCTCTTGCACCTGGACCGTTCGACGGTTTTCTCTCAGGCTTTTAAAACTGCCACGACTGACTCAAAATCCTGGTTCGCGTTTTAAAAGCGGATGTAAGAGGATGTGAAGATTTAAGAGAATGTTTAAGAGGATATTGAGTATTTAAGAGGATGTTGTTAAGAGGATGTTTATTTAAGAGGATGTTCATTCGTGATAAGAGGAAGTTCTATGGTGTTTCAATGAAGGCTTAAGAGGATGTTTCGAAGCTTTAAGAGGATGTTGTTAAGAGGATGAATTTTTGAAAGGATGTTTAGGAGGAAGTTGAAGATTTAAGAGGATGTTAAGAGGATGTTAAGAGGATGTTTAGGAGGATGTTGTCAGTCGTGGAAAATTCAAGGTTTTTAAATCCTTATCGAAAACCGTCGGACGGTCCAGGTCCAAATGAAGACGATAGACGTCTACTTGCACAATCGTTATCTAACTACCAGTACCGGTACATGTAATGCAGGTTCACGAACATTTGCAGTTTACCGGCTTGATTATTGGAGGTTCGTACGGTACCAGTACGTTCAAACTGGGTTGATCATGCCGAGTTGGACGCACAGGTTCCGGTCGAGGTGCCGATGCCGTACTGGTACCCATACCAGTACATGTAGTTTTGCTGGCTGCCTCTACCAGTAGCTATTAATAGATGCGATCGAGGTAGTTGATGGTAGACCCAACCACGTCGACCCGCTACGGTAGGCGAGGACCCACCAAGAAACCCACCGGAAAGGAGCCCAAGCAAATCCAGTGCGCCGGCCGCCAATTGTAGCAAAGGCCCATCTGCCTCCGGTACAGTACGAGCTAGATGGGACTGAGATGATTACGACCCTCAATCTTATTCTCTTGGGTAACATTTGTAGCTCTGCTGATACCGCCCGTCATTGTTCGGACCACATCGGTCGACGTCCATGGCAACAAGAATAACTCGCTCTGGATGCGGTTACCCAGCGCTCTGTGGGACTCAGATCATGTCAGACGCAGTCATTTGGATTATGATGAGAGGTCCCAAAACAATGGTATAATGTGTCTGCAGTCGTTTTTTTGCCGCTGGATGTCCCATCCTCGTAGAACGTGTAGCGTTGTAGGAAAGCCGTTCCTATGAAATGCTGACATCACGAGTGGCACTGCGAGCTGCCTGACCAGTATGTCCCACGGGAGTCCGACTAAAGGTTGCGTTCTGCTCCAACTGTGAATCTTTCGACACGCGTTGGATGTCCTACGGTACCAAGTTTTGCCCCCTACAACTTGTGTGGAACTGGTAGACAAGCTACACAGGTCGGGCACTATTTTATTCAAGCCCGGTGGCATGAAGATTGTCGGTTGGTGCTGTCTTTGACACATTCATTGTCTAACCTTCTGAAAATCTGAAAACCAGCAAAAAGACCCTTGAAGCAAAGAAGAAGAACTGTGTGCACGTCTCATATTATTCAGCACCGACCATGACGAAACGTCAAAGCAGCGTAGGCAAAGCGGCCGCTGAGCCCACAACGGTTGTGGTGATCACACCAGGACCAACAGACGTCCTCTTTGGACGAGGAGGTGAGTTGCGGTGTACAGGGGAACAGTACTGTGGCGGTGGCACGCAGTGTCCTAGCTAGCAGTAGGACGGTGTTGTCAGCGGTGTCGTGAGAGCTGTGATCTAACCCATTTCTTTTGGATGTGTACCAGGCCATGTGAATCACAACCCTGCCAATCAACGGTACCTTACACTAGTAATGGAGCGCAAAGAGCAGTACAACCAGTGCAAGAAAACGGACAAAGCTAATATAGCTTGGGATATTATGGCGGAGCTCCGACAACAAGATCCTCCCACACGCTTTCTCAAAAAGGACTATTCCACGGGGCTATGGCATATTGTCAAGGATACAGATGTGCGGAGAAAGATCAGTCAATGTTTGCGAGAACGCATGGTGCCTGTCATTCCAAAGAAACGGAACAAGAAGAAGAGGCGCACCAGCGCTAACAAGAAAAGCGAGGAGGAAGCCGTTCCGGCACCCTTGAGAGCTACAAGATCTTCCACCAGGATCCAGATCCGACGCATCCAACAAGATGAGACGGAGGAGTTTGCTAATGAACTGGATGGGATGGAAGATTGCGACGTCGAAGGTTTTCTCCCTCGAGAAGACACCGCAGAGGAGGAATTCTTTGATGCTGAGGAAGAGCAGACATTTGAGAACCCGCCGACAGCAGTGGATGCCACGACTATGGAAGCGGTTTCGGAAAAGGAGGTGTCAGAGGCAGCGGCTGTCCCTCCACCCCTTCCAAAGAAGGAAGAACCTGTCCGAAAGAGATCCAGCTACTACTGCTTGACGACTGGCACCTGGCAAGACTACAATCCCAAGACGGGAACCTGGGGGGAATCTGGCAAGCCCAAACAGCAAGAGAGCCTCCCAGCGGAGGAAGCCGTGGCGGCCATGGCGCCGCCGCCTCCACTGCCGAAGCCCAAGCCTCTGAAGTCGGAAGAGTCCAACAATCGGGCGTGGAGTGACTATTTTGCCTCTTCTCTGGCATCCTTTACTCCAAGCATCTTTGACTTCTCTGGCGGGGAGAGCGCCTGGGAGAACCTGCTGGATCCATCCACGCTACCCCAATTGATGCCGTACGAGGATGATGAGGAGAGTTACCTGGGAAGTCACGCCTCTACCACCTCGGAAGAGCAACCCGAGCGAGTGGTAATTCACCAAGTTCACAAGAAGCGCACCTTGATTTGCTGCAATGGCGTCAAAGCTATGAAAGAACCGTCGTCCAAGAAGATCAAGCTGGAAGCGATCAAACCGGAAGCACCAGAGGATACTTCCGTGGATGGCTTTTTGGATCCCGAAAAGATGAATCTAAGCTTTGGCAAAGTCCTTGAAGAGAGCCGAAGTCTCAGCGTATCGTCTGCGGGTGCTTAGAGTTGCAAGGCCTCCATTTCCCCCCAATCAAGTGATTCAATTGATACCGGTATCTGTGATGCCTGTCCTGGTGGTTTCTCCATTACCTATACTACCTGCATACATTAAAATCTTCTAGCTACTCCCTTCCAAACATCGAATATCTTCCAAGCTACTTCCATCCCGAACAACTCAACACCGCAATCAAGCTAGGAAGGCAGCAAACCACAACGCTGCACTGTTGCTTCAAGCCCCAAGGAAGCGAGCCACAAACCAAAGCACAGCCACAGAAGCTGCCACAGACAGCCCTGGCAACCTAAAAGGACCCAAAGGAAGGAAGAGGGACTAACAAGTCGTGGTGTATTCCAAATCCTCGACGACACTCGGAACGCAGCAGATATAAATCGTGTTTTGCATGGCATTAGGTACGACAGTTTGCTTGGTGCGTGTGCTGCCTTCAGGAGAATCTTATTCTAGGCCAGACATGAGAAGGAGCGCATCAGTAAACGCATATGCATCGCAGGCTCCTCCTCTCATGCGAGCTAGAGCTGCCATGCCTAATACCAGCTTTGCAAAGTCCGTCGTCCCAGAACCCTCAAATTTGATTCTTGATTCCTCTGATGCGTGCATTTGCCTTCCAGCACTATCAACGGCCTTCAGAGGAGCCATGAACAAGGTTGATGAAGTGATCCTTTGCAAACCAAGAACGCAGTTCAATAACAAACCAACAGCCAACAGTTTTTCGGGGCAATACACGTGTAGTTTGGTCTTTCATGCCTCGTACCTACACTGTCACCACTGACCACCTCCGGAGTCTAAAGGCACAGGGTTTTTGTTTCTTGAATTTTCCTTCCTCCTACCATCGACCCTTGTTGTTGTTTTACAAATCCTACTTACAACAATCAAGGGCACGACGTACCATCGGCGAGTTGTCTGCATGAGCTCCTTCATGTCTGCGGGACTTGGCGAAGTGCTTGAGGTACGAGACGTGGGTACCGTTAGTCTTTCTTTCGGCTCATAACCCAAATGGATGCCCTTTGGACTTTGGACAAGCCAGATTTGCCGAAGTCCACCCATCAACCACAGCATCGCCTCACAAGCACACAGCGTCAACAACAAGCATAGCAAACACTTTGACAGGAGGTATTGCAACAAAAGAACAACACCAGGGATTCCAACGTGGTCCCCCACCGTAGTACTAACCTGGCCCGACGATGCTTAACTTCGCTGAGCAGACGGGAAGCGGTGCTGTCATCGTGGTATGGTCGTTCCTACCAGCCTAGAAGTCCAAAATGGTAACATACGATCAAGGTTTGCTTTGGTGCCGCAGATACTTTGGCAACGATCGAGTTCCTCTACATGTAGTAGCTACCGCCGGTAGACTACGCTGTAGCTAGTACAAAAGTGGAAGAGGGACAGCCTTTAGATCACAAGCATAACCATGGAAGGAGAGAGCAATGATGATGACGAATTCTGGCAAGTTGCCCTTTGTCGTGACGAAGCCGTTGCCAGAGTGGGTCTTGCAGAATCAGAGTCAGACGATGATGTGTCTTCAGCGGCTGCACCTGCCATTACCTATAACATACCCTGGAGGGCCAATGCATCGACGACCTTGAAGCTGTCGCCTCTTCCAGATCAGAATGGCATTTGGAGTCCATTGGGGGCTCAAGCCTGGCATGCGTCATCCTTGCTGGTGGCGTATCTGTTGCAAAACACAATCCTACGAAAGGATGTTTCTTCCCAAGGGTCGCTCTTGACAAAGTACTTGGATTGGTGGTTTCATAGTGGTGACAAGCAGTACGGTTTTACAGCCCTCGAGCTAGGAAGTGGGGCTGTGGGGTTGGTTGGGATTGTGTTGGGACTTATTTTGGGAGACTGCTACCAAGCCACTCGTTCTTTGCAACAGGGCGATGAAAATATATCAGCAACCATTCCTCGCGTGATTCTGACAGACAATGAACCCAACGTTCTCAGCAATCTGCAACAAAACGTTGTCAACACACAAGCGATGCTGCCGAATAAAACGGGCAGGAATCTTGCTCTCCTGGATGTGGAAAACTTGGATTGGGGAGATGAATTCATACTCCCATCATCCTTGCAACAATCGTCTGGTGGCTTGCAATTGGTAGTAGGATCCGAGCTAGTCTACACCCATGCAACAGCCAAAGCATGCGCTCAGGTGGTCCTCTCGATTCTGGACCATTCTCCCAATGTTTTGGTATTCATCCTTCAAGTGACCGATCGAGATGGCTGGAACAACGTGTTTCTTCCCAAGCTTCGAGAGAAAGAGCACTTGCAAGTGATCAGTGAAGAGGATGGCATTCATGATTCCGACCTGCATGAGCTGGCGATGACTTTAATACCTCCTGGTGGGACGTTGGATAGGTTCGCCTATGGCGGGGTCTTCATATTTCGTAGATCAGGTGTTGTGGCGTCACTATTGGAACTTCAGGAGAGGAATGAGCTCGATTGAATCGAATCATTCAACCGGCAATTTACTCCGAATTCGTAGCAGTACCAAGCTGACTCTGCGCCGAGCTTTTTCTATCGCTGGACTTGCCAGACAAGGATCATACAGCAACGATTCCTCTGTGAGGAGAATCATGGCGAGAAACAAATGAATCCCATGGTGAGCAGTCCTGCGGTCTGGATTCGATTCCATCCGAGCAAGCTGCGAAGTATACAGTTCCATTTCGGCGCACCCCTGCAACGTTGAAACTATGCTATTAGTACCCAGTCAGGGTTTGAAGCCCCCCAACATTGCACAACAGGAATTCTTTTTCTATTCAACTTATTGAAAACTGCTACACATGTATTTGTACAACAGAAAACAGAATGAGGTACTACATGTACGGTAGAGTGTTTGGTTCTGAAAATGTGCTGAAGTTTATCCATTGTTTTGGTGGTTGAAATGAAATTTATTTGGTATCATTCCTAGCTCCATGCAGGAGATTATATTTATTTTGGTGACTATTCGGCAATGGGTTCCATCCATGATTCCCCAGGCCCAGGACGACGGTTGCGCCAGATGGACTTTGTTTCGTCCTCGATTTCGCTTTCTGGGACGTCTTCGACAATCACGGTGACGCGTCGTCGTCGAGAGCCATTCGCGGCTGTTGTATCCTTCTTTCGATCATTTCGTAAGGAGATTTTGACTTGAGTGACATCATCTTTCTCTTGGGGGCTGACCTCGACCTTGACCCGGTCATTGCCCTTCGCAACAGAATCGGAGAATGACTTAGTCACAGGAGTAGTGGGTTGCTTCTGGACCTTGTTTTCCTTTTCATTCTCATCAACCGTTGGACGTGGTCTCACTTCATACATTCTACCGTCGCTGCTTCGTACATATCGTGGTTGTGACTGTCTTTGACGCTTGAGGTCACTAGCGACACGGCGTTCTGAAGCCTGATCGTCGCGATCTTGTTCTACCGGTACTCGATAGAGACGTCCATCGGGCCCACGAACAACAGTGTAAGCTGGTGACTGGCGTTGGAGTCTTTGTCGTCGACGTTCTTCTTCTTCATCTTGTCGTTGTGATTCTTGCTCTTGTCGTCGTCGTTCTTCTTCTTCCGCTTGGCGTTGCACCTCCAGTTGTTGTCGTCGAAGTTGTTTCTTTTGTCTCCATTGGCTATAACGATTCATCTCGGAAAGTCGTTGCCGTTCCTCAACAGCCCTTCGACTGCTCATTGGGTTGGTGCTGTATCCATTGTAGTTTTGTTGGTAGTCGTTGAATCGGGGGAAGAGTCTGTTCATCATTCTGGTGATTGCGTTTGTGTTTCTGAAAATTGATTTTATGAGCAAGTTGTGTTTGACAAAACTTGTGAGCAAATAACTCCCGGAAGCGGAGGCGAGACGTGCACGCAGTATATTATTGCTTCCAATTGTTTCGAATTCCTTCTGAACTATGACTCAACAGGGATAGAGCCAAGCACCACCATACTATTTTCTCTGGTTGCCTTGCGCCTGGCTTTCTTTAACACTTCCCAGTTGTGCTACGGTGTATTGTAAAACGCAGTCGGGCAGTCAAGGTGTGCAATTCGGCCAATGCCTGCCTTCGTCCAGCGCAATTGTGTGGATCGCAGGCAAAGAGCGCCATGGTGGAAGCGATCTTCATCAACTCTCCTTGATCCTTGGCGTCCCAACCGAAGGGACAAAAGCTATCCGGATTGGAATATCCGTGCATCTCGGTCCAGGACCATTTGAGACACCATTACTCCAATGGGAATGCGGAGAACAAGTCCCTCTCCGTGGTTCGGGTCCCTCCTCCATCGGGCGCCACGGGATTAAGTCGGCTTGTTTCTCGCGAATGACATTGCGCAAGGCATTGCATAGGCTCCATTCCTCGGGGGCGCCTTTTGGGCCCTTACAGATGACGCGAAAGCTCCAAAAGCAGGCACCAAGCAATAGCGTATCCAGTGGTGTCCATCATGAGAGCATTGATGCGTCGAATGTGCTTGGAACTGCACGCGTCAAAGAGCTCTTGTCGCGAATTCTTCCAAGCGTCTCTCTTCTTGGTTACCAAGTCGTGCGTTCCACGGGTGCGCGGTCGGAGAGAGCGTATGTATCTGCGCTTCTGCTCGTTGTACCCGCATTAGGTGGGTAAGACGCATCGCTGTTTCGCATAGATCTATCTATTTGACGCAGAGTAGAACCAAGGGAGCAGCGGAAACCGTCAGGCCGATCGTGGCTTGCGATTGGTTAGCCTTAGGTGAGAGCGACAAACTAAGTGTGGTTTCGTTTTCATCAGCAGCAGTATGTCCTTCATCGCGATGGAGTTGTCTCTTTCGTCTTATCGTTTAATTTGGGCTCAATTGTTGCTTCTGGCTGGACAATTGGGGTTCGTAAAGATCTGTAGACGTAACCATGAGTCTTTCACGAGTAGAAGCCTGGGCTCCCTCGGGAGGATCAACTGCAAGTGAAAACAGTCTCTCATTCTCATATCTTCTCCTTATCAAGTCTTCCAATTTCACAGCTAGCCTGGCTGTGGCAGCTTCTGCACTGGGGACATTGAATATTCGATCCAATCTGCCACCAGGAAACTTGCAGCCAAATTGCATGTTTGAGGAAACTTGGTGTGAAAATGTAGCCTTTGCCATGCTCAACAATGTCTCCATAAAGTGTGGGCTGTTGTAGAATTTGATCCGGACATGCTTGGCTGGGTAAATGCTAAAGGCGCCAGAGCCTGCCTTCCGAAAGCTTCTTATGCAGAAGTTGTTCAAAGCTTGCTGATAACCATCACATTCGTACAGGGTGGTGATACCAGCTCTCACCGCTGCCAAGTCGGGAGAGAGGACCTGTAGAATGTAGTAGGTCCTCTGGCTAACACCACGGAATCCCTCCACAGTCTTAAATAGACTCAAATCAAATTTTGGTCCATCAGAGGACATAACATAACCCCCTTGATGTAGATTGTAGTCCACAGAAAGCAGGAACCTGTCCTTGACAAACCCAGGGATATGTCTGAGGCAATCATGCAAAGTATCGAGGATGTCAAATTCCCGCATAAAATTTTGCATCTGGTAAGCCTTGCTGATTGCCCATTCAATGTCGCCATCTCCAACGATGGCTAGCTGAGCATATAACATGTCCGATAAATTGTCCAGATCCGGGGTACACTCAATGGTGCGTTTGATGGTCAAAGCTTGCTTCCGTTCTTCAGGAGTGATTTGCATGTTCTCTGGGTTGTACTGGCTCAAAAGGCGCTGAGTTGCCTCCAAAACTGCTGTACTATTTCTGGCAATGGCTCCGGATGTAGCAACGTTTGGTGACAGATTTTCTTCTGGCTGGCGGCTTGGGTTGGTGGAGGTAGGTTCTGGTTCGTCGTTGACATCATCATCAATGTCTCCATCATAATCACCGCCATCTCTGGTAGATAAAATCTCATACTCGTCATCGTCATCTTGCTTCTCTGGAGAGCCTTTAGACAGGCGTTGATCCTCATCCGACGTCAAATCGCTCCGAGAACCGCTCTCAGCGGCTTCTTCCAAAGCGTACTCACCGTGCATGCTAACAAAAGTGGGAAGAAATGAGGAAGCTACCTGTATCTCGGGCACACGTTTCGTCCATACAGGTAGACTGTGAGATCTTCACGCGATAAGTTCTTGAATCGATATCTTGTGGGCTACTCGAGAGCTACTTTCAGTGACCTACAACATCAGCTCATGTGGACTGGCCTGTGACTGTGCCTATGGTGCTAGAGCTAGAAGGCACACCAAGTTGGGCTTTGAAGCAGCATTACTAGTGTTATTGCTCTAAAGCTCACTGCTTCTTCACGAAGATCGATTGATCCAAGAAAAGAACAAAAGTGAGGAATCGGGGCTGCAGAGGTGCATGCGCCCTTTTCGCGCGAAGCTTCACTACGTGTAGACGACATCGTGATGCTTCGCTATCCAGCTATGGGAATCAGCGGAGATTCCCAGGACCAGCAACCCAGCAAACCTGTTTTGAGACCGGGAGTTGTACAGATACCGGTAGCTTAGTTGGCTTCAAAGAAATTGTGCTCGGAACTTGCCAGATTGTCAGCCGAGACCCTGATGCAGCATTGGCAGAAAGTTGATAAAAACTAGACTCTAGTAGTCTAGAGCTAGCTATGCATAGTAATTTGCCTTCTGGTTGAATTGGCAAGCTCACTTGGCAACTAAAGCTTTTGTAACAGGGATGCTGGCCAGCTACCGTACTGCACCGGGCCCTGTACGGTAGCTGTTGGCGTCCATCTATGGCAAGTTAGATTCAGCGGATTTTTTGACCATAGGTGCCACCAGTACTTCGATCCATCCGATCCTCAAGACTTTGGCTAGCTAGCCTGGCATGTAGAATTGGTGAAGTACAACATGTTACAAACGGAATGGCGCCAATGATACCGGTATGTACCACGTTACCGGTAACGATGGTGAGCGGGTCGTTGCTTTGCTTGGATGCCAGGTTGTTGGCCGAAAACAGACCTACTCGCCTACTAGAGCTCCTACTGGTTGGTACGCGGTGCGGTGGTAGCTGGTGGTACATGTACTGGCTACTGCATGAAACTATATGTAGTTAAGATGCCAGCTATCTATTAGTCTCGTCAGCAGCGGCAGCAGCAGCGGCGGCGCTCTCGTCCGCTTTCTTTCTCTTCTTTGCCTCTTTGTTCTCTTTGGCCTTCTGGGATCGTTTCACTGCCTTTTGGGACCTTTCCTTAGCACCCGGTTCATGTTCGGCAAACAGCTTAATCAGTTTGTTGACTGTGGAGCTACCTGGTTCCGATGCCGTCATTCCATTGGGGATTTTGAGGCCCCATTTCCCTTCTTGAAGCACAGCGGCGAGACTCTTCCTTGCCACTTGTGCACTCCCCTGCTTTTCGATGAAGGCGTATATTGCCTTGCGTTTGCACCAGGTCTTTTTCTTGGGATCCTGGCTCCTCCAGTTCTTGATCGTTGTTTGTTGTTGGAGCGCTCTCTGCTTGGTCGCAGCAGCAGGGCCGTAGCATGCCTCAAGATCTCTCAGCGCAGGACCATTTCCCAATCCTTCGAAGTACTCGTCGGTGAAGATCTTCAGCGTGGGACTGTTCGTAATTTGCACCCCAGATGCCCAATTGGGAGTAACGTTTTTGGGCCAGGTGTCGGGATCCTTTGGGTCAACACTTTGGCTTTCGGGTGGTGGGAGCATCTGTAGTAGCTGCATTGGTGAAATAGTCGAGGGGTGTATATTGTTGTCTTTTTCCACAATGAGAACGGTAGACTCCATATCATCTGTTCCCTGCGGATTCACGACTTCCTTTAGAAGAAAGGCTGCTTCCTCGTCAGACAATTTCAGATCCTCCTCATCCTCGTTCACGCTTCCAGCTGCATGAACACAGCGCAGCAATCGAAGGATTTGCTTTAAGTAGGACATTCCCTGTGGATTCATCCATGATTGGGAGGACTGTACCTTTTGGCGCTTGCTTTCCTCTTCGTGTGCCTTCATCTTCCTTGCAAGCTCCTCCCTGAAGTCGCAAAACTCTTGCATCAAGAACGGTTTAGTGAAGTAGACAGGATGATCCTTCATCTTAGGTTGCATAACCGCCAGGTCTTGGATGAAGTAGACAGCCGAAACATCGAGTAAGTCCAAGAAACCAGCCAGTGTTGTGTCTTGCTCTTCAATCTTGTTCCAGAAGGCTTGGTTTTTCTCCCTATGCTCCCTGAGTTTCTTCACGAAGGGATAGATCTCGTCCACCAAAACTTGTGGTGGCTGGAGTAGACCCCTAGCCACAAAGTAGGTTCCCTCTTCAGGACAAGATTCTGGAGTGGGCAGGTATCCTGCCATCCAAGAGATGAACTTCAATGGGACATGGGTGCGGTAGTGCTGGAAGAGTACACCTTGGAACTTCCACCCCCCTTGTATTGCAATATGGCAAACCTGTGCTCCAGCCTGTTCAGCTTCGCTCGCACCAACCCCTCTCCGTAGATAGGTCGTCTGATGTCCTGTAATTGGAGGTACGGCTTTTCCGTATGCTTGCTTGAGGTCCTTGTTGAGGGTTTCATAGCACAGATAGCAGTTTGGGCCCGGTTGTGAAGAACTTCCCTTATTGGCCTTTGTGTTCCCATAAAAGAATTTGCGGTCGTACCATGGATGGTAGTAGGTTCCATCGTCCTTCCGCTTGGGGATGAAATGCCCAATGTCCATGGCACCATATGGTGATTGGAGCTGAGAATAGAATTCCAAATTGAAAGTGAAGAAAGCATACCTTGGGATATCATGGGCATGCCTCATCTGGCACGACACCCTGTGTGCTCCAACTTGGATTGCCTTCCCCTTCGTCATGACAACACCGATGACCTTGCCAGCCCCTGCCATGTTCTCAGGTGGGTCCATCGTGCAATGGTCCGACAGCAGCAGATTCCTCCTGCAGTCACTCCCGAGCAGCCGGTAGTGCCCATAGATGTGGTGAGTTCTGATCCTCCTTGCTGCTTCGACAGAGAATCGTTTGCATCCTTCCCGCCGTGTAAAGGCAATGCTGTCTTGGAACAAACCGAACAATTCCATTTGCCGAGCCTGTTTCCTGTTGTATCCTTGGCTTGACAGCAGTGCCTTCTCCCTGGGAATATTTTTCGTGCTGTTCTCAGCTGGTTGCTTTTGTAGGTACTAAATTATCAGGGCATTGATATCACCACCTTCCCCAGGCTGTTTGTCTCCATAAAAAGAAACAAATTCCTCTGCACAAGAGTACTCACTCTTCTGCCTGAGATATAGAGCCTTTAGTGCCTTCTGGATGTTGTCCAAAGCAGATTTGCTGTGAGCTTTTTTCTTCACGTAACCCTGTTTGCCATGTTTCTGGGGTCTGAGAATGAAGTGATCCCTCATGAATTCGTAGGCCAAGCTTTTGGAGCAATATTTGGGGTACTCTTTCTTGTCTGGTTTGGTCATCTGCCCCCTATAACTGACATTGGGCCCTAGTGTGCACCACTCCTTGAACTCCTTCTGGTAGCCATTGTAATATTTCGGTAGATCTTTGGTGGCGTCCTTTCTGGAGTCATCTTGTGCAAGTGTGGCGTCCATTCTATATTATGGCAAATTAGACGAAGCAGAGGTACGGTACTTTGATCCTGGCTACTATTACCGGTAGGTACTTCGATCCATCCGATCTCAAGTCTTTGGCTACGGTACGGTAGGTGCTACCACATGTTACAAAACGGAATGGGGCCAATGAGCTCCAATGACACCATGATACCGGTATTAGTATCGGGGTACCGGTACCGGTAGTACCGGTACGGTTACTAGCTAGCTACTGGAGTAGCCAGTACGATGTACTATTAATAGTGCCAGGTACCAATGAATCGAATCGAATCAATCGAATCGGTGATTGTTGCTTTGGTCGTTGCTTTTCTAGTACAGTCGTACACGTAGGCCGCCAGTTTTGTTGCCGGAGCTGGCGCGCTGGCGCCCGTGCGCGTAAAGGTGTGCCGGTACTTTTACGTTTCCGAGTTTACGTGGCGGTGGCAGTTGCCATAAATGTTTGTGTCACCACGATCACCTGGGAAGCTCTTTGGAAACTGAGAACCGTCTCTCTGCACTTAATAGATTTAGGTAGGGGGAAGATTTAATTTTGTTCACCTTTTAGTACAGTAAATCTCTCTTCCTCTCTGAACAGCATAAAGATGTCCTTCTATGACTGGATCATCAGAGCTCTTAAGTCTCGTGCTCTTGGCATCACAAGAACGAAGAGGGGCGCAGCTTCCTTCCCCAAGAAGTGGCGAGTTGCCGAGATTTCCGATGACTGCATGGGATCATCACCCACAACCACATCACCCACAACGAGAAAGAAGAACAAAGCAAGCTTGCATGCTGGACTCTGACTTCGGCACAACACAAACACAACAACATCAAACACTCAACCATCGGAAGCAAGAGAGTACACTCGTAACCACCAAGATACTGAACGCCTCTCTACGACCAGCCAAGTTTGAGCTTATCCATTGAATCTAGCTAGCTAGTAGAGAGCTCGAGCGATTGACATTTTCTGTTGCCCCTGGCCGCTGTTTTTGCGCCTTTCTTTTACTTTTTTTCGGATTTGACTGTTGGGTTCTTCTACGAGAACCTCTTTTTTGATTTTCCACCATTCACCGTCAAGAATCTCCCGTCGTTATGAACGAAGCACCACCCAGTCCACTGGGTGACGCTGCTGTTGATGATGAAACTCGCAAACGGCACAAGGGAGACGAGGAACGCCGCAAGCATCGTTCTTCCCGCGAAGGAAAGAGCAGCAGTGACGCCAATAATGGCGAGCAAAGCAGGAAGAGCGGTGAGAGACGCTCATCGAACCGCAAAGAAAAAAGTCGCGATCAAAAAACACGTGTTAGAGCCATGAAGGACCGATCGGAAGCCATGGCCGACGGATCCAATTTGTCGCATGGCACAAAATCCATCAAAGACGATTCCCATGGCAGCGTGGAGGGTGACGTCATGAACCGATCCAATATGGATGATTCTGGCTTGTCCAATGGCGAGCGTCGTCGAAGAAGACGTCCTCGAGAAGGAGGTTCACGAGAAAATTCTCATGATTCTTCTGCTCCTGCTCCTCCGAGAGAGAGTAGTAGTAAAGACCATCATCATCGAAGACGAGGCAACAGCAAACCACCCCCACCTCGTACATCGTCTCGCGACACCGAAGACAGCAATAATGACAATACTACAACAGAAGGAGGAGAAAGGTCTCATCGACGCAGCAAAGAATCCACTCCTCGTCGACGAGTTCCCGAGCGAACTCGATCGGCGCGACGCACTCCCAGCGATGGAGGACAGCGTCGCACGGTAGAACGAACCAGGAGTGCCAGTTCCGTGGGGGATTTTGGTCGCCCCGAACGAACGCGCAGTGACGACGAAAATCGAAACCGATCTCCTACTCGAAATAACAATGCTCGCCGCGCGGTCCTGGAACAGCGATTGGCAGAAAAAGATGAACGCCGTCGCACGGCCACGAGAGGAGGAAAAGACTCTGGATCGAACAGCGGCAATGCTGGCCTGGACGAATCCGTGGTGGAACGCCGTCGACGTCGCAAGGAAGCGCAAGAAGATACTACTAATTCACCACGCAGAATTCCCTCGTCTGGAACTACTACTCGCCGCGGCATGGACCACAGTGACAATTCGCACGATGTTGTGAAATCTGGTGGCATGAACGATTATTCCGAGCCCAATCATCGAGCGCGATCGCGGCGAGACGCGCAACGTCCCGGATTTCGCCGTACGCGTACCGTCGATGGAGTGGATAATCATCAGCGTCGTCGTGGCGACGACAATACTGAAACGCCCAGTGTCATTTTGGAAGACGAGCAATCGTTCGAAACCGCCCTTCCCATGCCAGGTCTCCGGCGTGCCCGAACCGAAGAAGACATTCCCAAGTCGTCTCTTGCCAGTCGGACATTGGGACGGGATCGACGTGCTTCTCGACGTCCCCAACAATGTCAACAACGTCGGCAGCTCAGGCATGGGTCAATGCCGTCGATTCGCGCAGTCCCAACAATTTCCTGTACGGTGCCAGCAATGATGATGACGATGAAAGTGAAGAGGAAGACTTTTTCAAGAGCCCCAACAATCCATATCTGAATGGCGGCAACAACAACAACAACCTGAACCCCATGGCATCCATGGACAGTTCCTCTTCCAGTATCATGAGTGACCTATCGCAACAAAGCATGGCCGATGACTCGGAACGAACCAACAAAAAGAGTCGCAAACTCAAGAAAATATTGCCCAAGAAAATCCGACATGCGTTCAAGGGATCCAAGAGCAAGAGCAGCGATACCACTGACTTATTGGATGACAGTGAGTTTACCTACGATTTGGATGACTAAATCTAACTAAAACTGAAGGAAGGAGGTTCACGAGCAACAGAAACTGATTGGATCGTCTCTGGCTCGTGGCTGGAATGCCTGACGAGGAAAATGATGTGTGTGGTGTACAAGTTATGAAGAACGGAAACAGCAGCTGCAGTGAATTCAAATACATTTGCCCGAAATGGCTCTATCTATTGTTGCATTTTTATGTTCGGTGGTGGTGTAATTGATTGTTGCTCAATATTTATTTGATAACAAAGTTTTAAAAGGTGTCTTCTTGAAATTGAACCCTTTTGGCGTAAAAGGAAGGGTTGACTCAGCCATGCAGAGCACACAACCAACCTGTACAGTCCTCAGAATGCAATGCGAAACGAGTGACAGTCACTCAGTCGCTGAAGATCCATGTGATGCAAGCAATGCTTGTTCCCACACAACAAGTGAGTCAATCCATCCCCATAAAAATGGTTGAGACTCGATGCTGCAAGGAATCAGTTGCAAAGACTTGGTCCTAGCTAGCTACAAGGAAAACCTTCATCCTTTTCTCCCTGTATACCTGTATCAGTTCCCTTACTAGCCAATGCTGTACCCAGATAATCTAGAAATCATGCTTTTGCTTCGTTCCGATTCTGGCACTGCAATCATCAGAGGTACTTCTTCTTGTGCATCCGGTCGTTCACTCCTCGCCAAGAGAAATGTGGATATCACCAGTATTGTCGTGATGGGTCCCCAAATGTTTCGCTCTGTGGGACTGCGCGATGCCCAGTTGAGCAGGCAACCGACACAGAGGAGTCCGAATACAGCCCATGTGGTACAAACGGCACCCCCCATGGACATCCATGCTGGCCTCAAAAATCCCGCTCGTGTCGCAAACACCGATGCAATTGCCAACCATACCCCCACGGCAATGGCACTGCTGATCCTCAGCGTCACGGACAGCTCTGCCGAAGAGCCTCCCCAAGCGGCCTTTCCCAATGGGAGACCCAGCGCCAATAGAGCTTGAAAGATTGCCACTCCCACTGCTCCAGTGATGGCGATGCCTCCAGCAATGCTACGAACTTGTTGTGGGGATGTCATGGGTGGATACGAAGTAAAAAGTAGTGCGGCGGCTGTAGTGTCTTCTCTTTTATGGCAGTAGCGGCAGACAGGTTCGCCACCCGAAGTGCCAATGCGCCATCGTCGTCCAATGCGTTTCTAAAAGCTTCTACAGTTGGGTTAAGGCTAATCGAAAAGACTTCCGAACCAGATGGCGAAAGATGGCAATGACGCTGTTCTGTGATCATCGCCGATCCTTTTTCTTCCTGTCGGAAAGATCTGCGCAGCACGTTCTTCTTTCTTTCATTGTTGATGTCGTTGACATCTTGTTCTGTTGGTTGAGCCCGGTCCAGTTGCCTCCACTTATTGGTACGGTACGTATGGTTGTTGATTCTCTTCTTGCTTGTTGTGTGGTTCCTTCCGCCTCCCCGCTCACATTCAAATTCATCCCTTGTCGCTTTTTCGGTGTATTCTTTTGATTTAGTTAAACAAAACATGTCCTCTACAAAGAGCACCATGATGGGTGGTGACGGCAATAATGTTCTTCAAGTGACCGTCCACAACAACAAGACGACCAAGGTCACCCGTGTGCCTCTGTCCGAAGTGGAAAATTTGGCCGTGGGAGCTGCCGGTGGGGCTTTGGAAACTTGCTTGCAAATGCCCATTTTGACCTACAAGTTTTGTCTCCAAGAAGGCAGGGCGCTGCCCACCAGTGTCCCTGGATGGTATCGAGGACTCGGAGTGCAGGCAGGTACGGTACGACAGTACAACTTGAACTATTGTTGGTTGTGTCTATTCTTTTTTTTCTTTTTGGCTTTTTTGGCTCACTCTGGGTTGTTGGGTTTTGCTTCCATCTTGTCATCCAAAAAGGGACTGTGGCACCGATTACTGCCATTCAATTCTGTGTCAATGGAATGCTTCAAAAGGCCATGTGTTCCTGGATTGTGGGGTTGATAGGTAGTGTTGTTCGGCTGGTTGCAGGCGCCTCTTCGTATGGCCGTTCTGCCGGGGCGGGGCATTTGAACATCGGTCGACAACATCAACCGACAACAATGCTGCAGCTGTTCGGCCCTTGACTGACGGTGAAATGATGGCGAACCTGCCTTTGGTGCCGGTGCGATTTCAGCATTGGTCTACAGTCCCGTCGATCTCTTGACCATTCAACAACAAAAACTCGAAAAGGGAGTACTCGATACGTGACGATATATTTGGCAACATCACGGTGGATTCACGGGGCTCTACCGTGGATTGTGCTCGTGTGCCGTGCGGGAAGCCGTCTACACGGCCGGATATCTCGGATTGGCACCCGTCTTGTCGGCCCGATTGGTGTCGAGTAGTCCGACATTGGCGGATCAACCATTCATGGCGGGAGTACTGGGAGCCTGTTTGGCCGGGACCACGGCGGCCGTCTTGACTCATCCCGTGGATACCGCCAAGACGTGTATGCAATCCGATATGAATGGAACCGTATGGGCCACAGCTCGATCGGCCATGCCCAAATTGGTTGCGGAAGGGGGCATTCAAGCGCTCTTTAAAGGGATGGTGCCACGTACGTTTAGGCTCTGCGGAGCCTTCCTTGTCTGCATGTCATTGCAAGACATGGCCATTGGATACAAATCCAACAAGGCTGCTGCTGCTGCTGCTGCCAGTATCTAGCAACGATAATTCACAACTTTAGAACTAGATACAGAGAAGGACTTGCCTGGCCCTGTACAGGTACACATGTGAATGTTGCGTTTGAAATAAATAAATCGTGAAAATCTAGATACAAAACTTTTTCAGAGCAGTCTTGGTTGCGAGCAGTCTGACGTTGGCCGAGTCAACCATTCTTGGCGGGAGTACTGTACTCGGAGCCTGTTTGGCCGAATCATAGCAGCGTCTTGACTCAGCCCGTGGATACCAGGCAAACCAATATGAATGGAACATTATGGTTCGGCCATGCCCAAATTGGTTGCCGAAGGTGGCATGCAAGGGCTCTTTAAAGGCATGGTTCCGGGTACTTTTAGGCTCTGTGGAGCATTTGTTGTCTGCCCAAATTGGTTGCCGAAGATGGCATTCAAGCGCTCTTTAAAGGGATGGCTCCGCTTACTTTCGGCTCTGTGGAGCATTTGTTGTCTGCATGCCATTGCAAGACTTGGCCATTGGATACAAATTGAACAAGGCTGGTATCTAGCAACGATAATTCACAACTTTAGAACTAGATACAGAGAAGGACTTCCCTGCTATACAGGTACACATGTGATGTTGCGTTTTGAAATAAATCGTGAAAATTTAGATTACAAATGAGAGCAGTCTTGCACGTCTGAATAGCTTATCGACATAGCCAAAAGCAGCATTTTGGTTTCTTGGTGGTGCAAGGCATGATAAGCCCGCCTTACCATGAGGTAGCATCCATCCTCATGGCACTCGGTCTGGTGCAAAGCCAGATGCCTTGTACTCGCTCTTGAAACTGCTTCCTCCATTCATGGATTCGGCCAATCTCTGGTCGCAGGATTCCTTGTCGCCATCAGCTTCGCAGCACGTTGTACAGCAAGAGCATTCGACGTAATTCGACTCAGAGAGACCGTCGCAATCCGCAGAAGCATGGAACAATTCCATGCCTTCTTTCGTGTCACAAAACTCCTCGGGGACTGCGCCGCGAAAGTTATTACCTGCCAGGTGAAGCCTTTGGAGGTTGGAGAGATTGGACAGAGAGTTTGGCAATTCACCTGACAAGGAGTTGTGCATGACGGAAAAGTTCTCGAGAGACACAAAGTCGCCGACACAGCTGGGGAGGGCCCCGGTCAATAGATTGTTGGAGAGCACCAAGTCCTGAAGGTTGGCAGTGTTGATTTTACACCATTGCTCAGGAATCTTGCCCGTAATTTCGTTTCGATCCAAGCGAATGGTTTTCAAGACAGGGCCTCCAGTCGCTGCCAACTCGCCCCACTCGGCGGGAAGCTCTCCGTGGATTTGGTTGTGCTGCAGGTCCAACACTTCGAGATTGGCCATGTATCCAATTTCAATGGGCAACGTACTCTGCAATTCGTAGCCAGCTGTGAAGAACAAAATCAGAAAACAGAGAAGTGTTAGTAATGCGATCATTCCATGTAACCTAGACACTCCATGACAGAAACTTACGCAGCTGGAGCTTGGACACATGAACCCCATCCGTGCATTTGACACCCGCCCATCTGCACTCTTCCACTTCTGAGAGCCAACGAAAAGCTGGTTCGGACATTCGTTGGTCAAAGTAGATTCCTTCGCTCGAGTATGATTCAAGGACAGGATGAATACACGTTGACGTTTCTCCAGTTTCTGGAGGCTGGCAGTGCATCAACTTCTTCTCTTGTGTCATGGTAAAGTAAAACACGGCCAACAGAAATCTCTGATGCAGTCGTTCATCCATCTCGTCCGTGATCAGTTCTCTTGCTCCAAGATCTTCAAAAGCAAGCCAGTGCAACGCTTTGCTTTGGGGGCTATCAGCATCTTCCAGGCTGGAGGCATCGTAGACCATATCTTGGAGCCTTTCTTCAAAGAGGGCAAACATTTCTTCCGACGACATGCCCTCGTCTTCACCAATCATGACTACGACATCACCTTTGCCACCGACCGTAAAGGACACAACCAATGCAATGATAACGATAATAATGGAGCAGCAGCAGACGAAACCAGCAAACATGTGCAGTTTTCTTCGCCTCGAGTCTTCGTTGACTACATCCACGGGCGAAGCAATCACAGAATCGCGAATCTGCTGGGTGAAGAACCCAGAAGCCCCTTCTTCGACGAGGGTAGCTTCCACCAGTGTGTCCTGCATCATTGTTGGAGGGGAGTTTCTGCCGACAGCACTGGACTCGGGCAAAGTAGTCTCTGTAGGATCGTCCAGTGACAATTCACCACTCTTTTCGCTCTTATGGCTTTGCTGGGACTGTGTTCGGGAAATACCATTCACTCGTAGCGCTCCGGCCTCAGAAATCATGGATCCACCAGTCTCCATTGTAGCCATGGATGTCTTGCAGGATGCTGTCTGAATAGTGACCCGTTCCATCTTTCCTCCCCGAAGACTCTCTTTGATTGTCAAGACTTCTTGTTCTGTGCTGGCCCTGCTTCTCTTGAGCGCCAAGAGGGGATCTTCGTTTGGTGCAAAGGAAATTCGCTTCTTGTTGGTCGCCACGTTTTCCTCGGCAGGACTCGTCGCTGATCTTCTGGCCGATGGAACGTCCACCGTGGCCGACGAGGATCTGTCCATGTCGCCGCGATTGCATCCATTATGAGGATTGTCATCGCCATCTCGTTCGCTACTACTGTCCGCAGTGGTGACATCCGAATCTTTCTTGGCGTAGTTGTTGTTGTTGCTGCTGTCTCGGAGTTTTTGCTCTCGTCGTCTCTCTCTGTAGTCTTCGTGCAGTTCGAGCGTGCTGGTCCTTCTCATTCCATTTCTACTACTACTTGAACTGTCCCGCATCTTGTCGTCTCGGCGTTCAGCGACTGCAGCTGCTTTGGGAACCGCATTTTCGTTCATCTTCTGTTCTCGTCGTCTTTCCCGGTAGTCTTCGTGCAGTTCGAGCGTGCTGGTCCTTCTCATACCATTTCTACTACTAGTCGAACTGTCCCGCATCTTTTCGTCTCGTCGCCGTTCAGCCGAAGACGCAGCGACTGAAGCAACTTTGGGAACCGCGTTTTCCTTGATCTTTTGTTCTCGTCGCTTCTCAAATTCATCTAGATCCTTCGTCGTAATTGCCGTCGCACATGCAGTATTGCTGGGCACGGCATTTTCCTTGATCTTTTGCTCTCGACGGCGTTCGTAGTCTTCCTTTGTATTGTTGCTTGCTCGCATCTTTTCGTTTTCCTTGCGGGCACGCGCCGAGTCTACAGTAACAGTACTCAAGCGATGTCGACTCATCAAGAGCGTGTTGGGTTCTACGGTCGCTCTTCGTTTGGCATGAGGAGAATCGCGAATGGCTTTATCGGCCGCTGTAGTGCTGTGGCTGGTGCCCGATCCGTCCATGTCTCCTGATGATTGTTGGCTTGGTTTTTTGTTGGATTCTTCGGTTGTCGTGTCGTCGGAATCCTCCTCTTCACAATCCGACGAGTCCGTGTATTTGCTGGCTGTATGATGAGACGCCAGCGGTATGGAAGGTTCTTTGGCCGCCATGACGAGAGAGGATTCTCGGACCATGGCGTTGGTGGGCGAAATGACAGATCTTCGTTTGGATGGTTGCTCCAGAATGGGAGGAGTGGTATTGTACTCGCTGTGAAAGCTCACCCCCAAATTGTCTTCAGCGGCGTTGTGAAAGGTCACGGCGGAAGAGATGGAACGATCCAACGAAAAGGTCGACGATGGAGATGTCTTGCACCAATCGGACGATGACTGCTGGGATGATGATGACTGCGATGATTTGAGAATCTTGCGCTTTTTGGCAATGGAGCTGCGAAAGCGTGCAATTTCCGCAAAGGAGGACATTTGAAACGAGACACGTTCCATAATACCTTCCATGTCAAAGGAAAGATCGACTGAGGAAGTGACGGGCTTCATGACTTGGTCTTTGAGAGTATCCAGTTCCCAGGATAGCGTCACATCGCCGCTCTCATCTTGAAAGACAATCTCTTCCGGCGTCAACCGTAGGCCACCCAAACACCCATTGAACCGGACTTTGGGAAAGTTGTCGTCGTGCGCCATTTTCTCAAGAAATTCTCAAATGAAATCTAGCTAGATAGCTGACTACGGTACTTCTTCAAAAGATGCAATCTCTTGGGTTGATACTCGAATAGCGACGGTCCAAAGGATGAATGATACCGTAGTGCACCAGACTAAACTGTACCGTACTCGAGTAGACTGCAACGTCGCAACGAAGTTCAGCAGCAACAGTACCGGTATGAGCGAAGAAGGCTCGGCGGAAGGTAGAAGTAGGGTCGTCGTCGTGGACCGACAAATGAGTGAACCGGTTACGGTTCACGTTCACATACATGTCTGCCATCTCATGCCGAGTGATCATGCGGTAAGCCTCTGTTTAAAAATGATCAGGTCTGGAAGCAGTGTTGTTGAAGTCAACCTTCTTGGTGGGAACCCAAGATATAAGCCTATGTCCTCATTATGTTCTTCGGGAACTCGCATTTAGGAACTCGTAACATCCAAAATTTATGCAATCGACAAAGTTGACGAAGATTTAATAAAAAATAATTATCTGAGCAGATTACGTGTACCGGCTACTAGTACCGGTACTCAGATTCTAGGTCAAGGTGGACACTTACTTACTTGGAATCTTCCCTGCTTTGTAAAATATAAACCATTAAAGCGGCTAATACGACACCACCCGAGCGTGTTTACAACCAGTCTCATCGTCCAGAAAGGAACTTGCCAATGGATCTCATAGGGCACCCATGCCATGCCACGCAATGGCCAAGCTACACCAGCCATTAGTAGTACAACCTGAAGACCAACAATAAAATGAAGTGGCTTTTTCCACCAGAGGAGGTGGGATGGGACTATCGATACTATACACACGAAAAGTCATTGTCGACCAGCTTTCGATCTGTTTTCGTACCCGATGTATCAACCTACTACCGTATCTAGCAATTACATTACGTACGGTAAATGCGTCTTCGTTACTACGGAGCATTCCGTTGGGAAGGATTTTGCAGAAATGCCGGAGACACTTGGAATGGATCCACCAATTGCCGCTGATTGCTGGCTGCTTGGGCCCACCATTCCAGTTGCGAAAAACACCGATCCGAGTAGGAATCCCATTTTTCGTTTTGATTTTGGGACGATGATTCGAGTACAGTTCCATCGGTGTCCAGGACTTGGTGTACATTTGGAATATGAATCATGGCGGACACGGGCAAACATCCCAGTTCGGACAAAATGGGTCGGAGTCCTTGTGCCGCTCGCGTCCCACCCCATTGTCCGGCCGAATAGGTGACAATGGCGGAGGGCTTGAAGGAGAATTTGGAGCTTCCAAAATGATTCAAAATATTGACAAGCCCGGGGGATGGGGCATGATTGAATTCGGGTGTAATGGTCACGTAGGCATCGGCTTGTTCGAGCAGTGTGGCGATTTCTTCGAGTTGAGGCGGAACTTGACTGGGGGCATAGGCAAAGTGTGGTTTTTCCAATAGTGGCAAGTTGAGTTCGAGTGGATCCAAGACGGCCGTGACGGTATGACCTCTGTGCTCGAGCCGTTGCCGAATGTACTGAGCGACGCGAGGACCCAAAATGGGTCTTGGAGGTCCCTCGGTGCGAGTGGTTCCGGTAATGACGACCGTGTTGAGAGCCTGTACCGAAGAAGAAGAAAAGGGTCGTCCGCCACAAGAGAGCACTACCGACAACGATAAAGCTATCAGTTGCTTCGGGTTGCCTCTCTGAGGACGATGGCGACGGCAAGAGCGAGATAGAAAGGAGGGTATCATGACCATGGTCGAGAAAAAAATGTGAAGATCCAAAGATACTGGTGAGTCCCGGATTTCCATCATTCGTGATCGAAAACATCAACCATTCATCTCCAGGAGGGACCTCCAACATCCAAACAATCCGCTTGCCGACGATGAGGGCTTCCCAAGCTGCTGATGCCGATGAAGAGGACCATGTGATCACTGGCAAGGCAAATCAAAGAAAAAAAGCATCCCGGAATCGAAAGTGTTCCCAAAGATCCAATTTAGGCGTTTTGCCAGTGTTGATGGTGGCATTAACGACAGTTGCTGTGGAATCTTTTCCCACGGTAGTAGTACATGTACCGGTACCATCACGTCGTCTAGCACCAGAACAAGGACTCATACATGTACTATGGAAGGAGAGAATGGCAACACTCCTGACGTCACACAATCTGGACCACACAAGTACAAGCACCTCATCCCGATCTTCCAAACAAACCAAGCAAAAGAAGAAGAAGAAACCCCGTGGGAATCCCCCACAATCTACTGCCGTGGACGACCTGGTATCCCGAATGGGTTTAACTCCAGCCCGCAAGAAACCACCCTCCAAGAAACCACCAAACTCCAAACCAGATAGCGCCACCCCCCTGCCATCCCTCAAGGCTCAACTGGAATATGCTCGCAATGGACATACAGTGCTACGACAGTTTATTAGGCCAAATAAGAATCATAATCCATCCCGGCTGGATGATATCCGTCAAGAGCTGTCGGAACTTGGAAAGCAACACGAACTACACGCGTGGCGTCAAAAGGTCCAAGTAGCATCCAATAACAGCAATATCCAGTGCCAGACCATCGACGAGTGCCGTCAAGCGTTGGATCGTCTGGGAGTACCCTCTCAATTGCCATTCCTCCAGTACTTTAATACTTGGAGGACGCTGCCATGTGTCTACGAACTAGCGGAAGAGTTAGCCGAAACCGCTGCCATACTCCTGGATGTACCTTCCGTACGATTGTATCAGGATTCCTGCTTTTGGAAGCGATCTCAGGATGGACCTACTCCTTGGCATGTCGATGCTCGCATGGCACCCTTTGATACATCTGCCATTCTGACCATTTGGATTCCCTTGCACGACGTGTCGGACAGTGGACTTCATTTTGTCTCCAAGAGTCATGCCGACTTTGCCTTGCCCTTTTGGAATCCCTTCACTACTACTAACAACAAGAAGGAGAATCCATGGAACGATTTGGAAACACGCTATCAGCATTACAAAATTCAACATTACATGCCCTTGAAACAAGGAGATGTGACGGTCCATTCGGGATGGACACTGCACTGTGCCGATGGTGGCGGCGAAGATCGCCTCGCATTAGCAATTTCCTATGTCGATGCCAAGGCACATGTGCGACCGCACGTCTTGAAAGATCATGGCGATGACGAAGATCAATGGAGTTACAAGGACTGGGTCCAAGACGTTCCAGCCGGTACAGAATTTGAGCATCCACTGGTGCCCATTGTGTGGCCGCCGAGACAACAACAACAACAACAACAGCAAACACTGCAGGCGCCCTGATTTTGATTAGCAAGCCATGATTGCGATCTTGCTTCCGAGCTTTTTGTATAGCTGGCCCGTTGCGTGGGCATTCATTGACAGAGATGGAGAGAATCTATCAGACTCGACTCGACTCGTTCGCACAAAGAGGGCGGCAATCTACCTCGTCCACATCTCGGAGCTGCATTTTTGAAGAAAAGGTGCAAGCGGTCTACCGGTACGTACCGTACCAGCTAGCTAGAGCCTAAGTCGACTCGAATAGGATTGTACCGATACAATAGCAGAACCATGCATCGGGTCGGATCAAAACGTACTCCAATATTGTTGGAATGGCGTGTGGCAGTATAGATGTCATGGTTTTGCTTATGGCTGGGAAATGCAAGATGCCTATCTATATATGCTGAGATTCATACATGCAAATTGATACAGCGCGGAACAATGATGGTGTGGTGTAGCGTAGAGGGCAGATTGTCTTGGTTTGTACTATCCATTTTGGGTAGTTCCACTCTTAGGTTTCTTTCGTACCTCGTCTTTGATTCCGTTCTTTGGCATCGTGCTGTGCGACGATATGACATGCCGAAGTGAGTTGCATCAAGTTGACCATTTGTTTGGCCGCGCATCCCGGAATGCAACTGTAGAGGCCCCCCAAGGCAGCTTTGTAGATGATCGACTCTGGAGGGGCATGCCGTACGACGTAGAGGCAAATGTAAGTGAATTCCGCGCCGACACATAGATATCCAAAGAACCAATAGTACTTGTAAAACCATCGTACTAGAAAATGTCGTCCTTCGTTGCCCTCATCGCTCTTGTGATGAGCACCGTCTTTGACCAGAGAGCTGCTGTACATTTGACACCAATGGGAACTGATATCCAAAATCATAAGGAATAAAAAGAGCTAAGAAGAAAGATTGTTGTGATGGATGATGTAATAATAATGAAGGACAGAAAGATAACCAGACAGAAAAGAGATGATCATTAGTCCAGTATGTAATGGAATGCAAATGCAATCATCAGCAAAGAAAAGCAATACAAAACTACAATGTGTCTCTACCTGCTCAGCTATCACTGTTCTCACAACTTACCAATCGATAATATGGGAACTGCAATTGTTGATCAACCGTGGCATAATCCCCACTGAGAACATGGAGGAATCCCAGTGTGGCACATCGATCCGTGACCATGTCAAGTAATCCACCCATGACGCTGCATTGATCGAGTTTCCGTGCCGCCATTCCATCAAACAAGTCACCGACAAAACTACCAATATAGAGCAGTACTGCCAACAGCCAATAGGTGCTTCCATCGATGCACATGAGTGCAAAGGCTGCCAATGCCATGATCACTCGCGTGTATCCAATCAAGTTGGGGACGAACCAAATCACATCGTGGGCGGTAGTTGGTGTAGTATTCGGCATTGTTTTTATAGTTTGGAACCGACTGCAAAAGTAAGTTGTGTAGGATAGCAGCACAAAACCACGCTTCAAAAACGCCAGCTAGGAGATAGTCGGAAGGTGGTAGCTCTTGAGATCAGGAAAAAGTGGATGCGGAAGGACCGTCTGTGATCTGTGATGATGGGAAATGAACAGAGTTTTTGGCGAACCTCAGAGTAGCAATAATATTTTGCCATGTTTAACATGCTTGTGGTAGCTAGGAGGTCGTGAAAACCTGAACTCTACTGATTTTAACACGAGCAAATGTGGGTGCGACGAAGAAGCAGCAAGGCGACGAGGCGACGAACGTTCGAAAGCCGACAGCAACACAATCACCTTCATCGGCTTCTCGTGGTAAGTGTTGGTGGATGTGTGGATATTGTGTTTGTTTGTTTGTTTGTTTGTTTGTTTGTTTGTTTGTTTGCTTGTGGTCAAGATCGACCACAGGGATCGAGATCCTGTTGAGAAGCTTGCTCATGTCATGCTTGGAAACAGAGCTCGAAAGTTTGTCGGTAGTCCTGCTGTCTCGTGTCAATTTTGTGGGATGATGGATGATTGGTTGTTTGTTTTGGTGGCAGCTAACGTTGATGCTTGATCGGTTTGTTTGTTTTCGTTTCCATAGAAGATATTGCTTTGCGGACCAGCCAGCTACTGTAGTAGTGTAAAAAGAATGGTGTTCCAAGGTCAAGATGCATGGCGGCGCCACCCCAAGTTCTTGAATCTTTGGAAAGATCCCTTGCCGGGCTTCAAAAAGGCGGTGATCATCTATGGTGTCTACCTTGGATTTGAATATGCCTATCGATTCATGAACGCTCCACCTCGCAAAAGTCAGTTGCAGCATTAGTCTTCCTATGATGATGTTGTTCAACCTGGAACCAGTTGCAATGTGCCAGGTAGTATTTCTATGTTATTTCAGAGCAAGGAAAACCTTCTTTTGCGGCAGAGTGTGGTTATAGATAGGTAGCTAAAACTAGCTAGACCTTCTTCACTACGCAATACATGCACTGCCCTGTCGTAGCTAGGTACGTGCTTGGGTCCAAAAGCATTTAGCACGTGAGGAAACCTCGGCTCCCAGACAGAGGAATGATTGCAAGATGGAGGCTCAACAAGAGTGCAGAAGATTTTATCTTGTGCCAATATCATTCGCGGAACGGGTTGATGTAATAATGCAAAACACACTGGTAGATTGAGACTTCAAGGAAGGAAGTAGCAAATGCAACTCTAACTGCGACATGCAACAGTCATAGACTACGGTAGCCAAGTACCGATAGGTGCTGTTGCAAGTAGTTACACCTACGGGTCCAAGCGACGAGATTTTGGAGGGCGGTCGCTGCAGCCATTTTTGGCTGCTGGGTCCCTGCTAGCAGCGACTGCACTATTGTGTCGCTTTCGACTTGGATACTTGATGGAAGGTAAATTGTAGATTTGTAAAGGGGCCACTCGTGGTGGAAGGGTTGGTTCTTGCTTCGCCAACAAGGCTCGGAGCTTCTGGTTCTCGTCCTCTAGCTTTTGGTTATGTGTCTGGGCTTGTTTCAGCTTGTCTGTAAGCCAGACTTCTCGGTCGGTAGCCTCGATTCCAGAAACAACAACAGAAGGACTCTCAATGAGAATGGAGAATGTCACATCAATATCCTTGGGAGACGTGGCGGCAAGCATAAATGGAAGCATCTTATCCTTTGGGTTTGGCAGAGCCAAGGCATGGGGTGCATGTACCACAAAGGCGTGTACACTTCTCAGCATGTGTTCCTTCTTCTTTAGTCCATTCGAATATGCCACAAAGTTCCCGGTCTGTTGCAAGAGCAGACTGAGAGGCAGAGAGCCTTCTTTGTCAGGTTTGCTGGCAGCTTCAGGACAAGCCTTTAGCACCATCTCAAGAATTGTAGAGTCCTTGAGAAGACAGCCTGGATAATTACAACTAAACATGGGATCATCTTTTTCTAATTCTGTTTCATTGCACATTGCCGCAATATGCAATGGCGTCCTGCCATGGCTGTCCACCTGTAATAGTTGTGAAGCTGGAAGTAGTCGAAGCGCCAGCCAAACGCTGATCTTGGGCATGCCCTCCTGAATGAGCATGTGAATAAAACTCATTTCATGCAGAGGCTTGCTCATTCCATGTTTTTCTTGAGATGCTCTGAATAAAAGTTCAGTTTTCTGCCACAGATTCCTTAGGTCTTTGCATTTATCACTTTCTAGGTCCTCGATGGACTCGATTTGGAGAAGGCCATCCATCTTCCAATGGTTCGAATTGGAATTCAACCATGTAAAACGAAGTGCTTTCCAAACAACTTTGGAATAGAGGGGTTTACATTGAGTTTGGAGGTATCTGTTCACCACCAATCGTAGGGGAGATACCCGAGCATAGTTGCAGAGCATTCCAAAGTCTAGAAATTCACTCTCTTTCGATTTTTCATGCACTGCGGTACAGTCGCCGCGGACAGCATACCAGAAGTGTACACCAAAACCAGGCATGGAACTTCCGACAAACCCACGGCTGCCTTCACCTGGCTCCAACTTGGAAAGGAGTTCTTCTGTAATGTCATCGGGAGTATCTTTGACGGTACAGAATACTAAGAGCTCCCCAATCCTCTCCTTCTTTTTCCATCTCTTGATCCTCTTTCTCACCTCGTTCCAGGATCCTGCATTCACAAGGGCTTTGATTTCCACCGTCATCTTATTGAACGCCTCAAAGAAGAATGTTTGATAGACTGGACGCTTCTGTCCGCTTTCCCGCGGCGGTGTTCTCGTCGCGTTTCGCTTTGGGTTCCTGGTACCGGTAGGTACCGCTACCGGTACCGGTAGTACAGTACTAGCTAGTATGGTACCGGTAGCTCTACAACCGTAACCCTACCGATGTTCAAAAAAGGGAAGGTCACGTGCACGATGCTGGAAACCTGCGTCCAAGCCTTTCTGTGGAACACCTCATTGTTCCCGGTGCCTCCAACCAAAACGACCATGGAAGTTGCTCATCGGTGATCGCCTCATTCGGCTATGTTTGAAGCGTCAAACCTGCGACAGCGAAGTTTCCTGATAGACGTCTCCCTCGTCTCGATCGTTGACTGATTGGCACCAAGCTGGCTAGCAAGCCAAAGTCTGAAGCGGAAAAGGAAGCCATAAAATCTTGAGTCAGATCCATTTGTTCTGTCGAAGGATACCGGTACCCTGAATAAGAAACCAAGGACAAAGAGCCGTTGTATCTATTGCACTGGTATTTGGGTGGTCCAAAAGATACCCCTGAAGAAGATATACAAGATATTAATATCTGTGGCAAGATTTCTTGCTCTCGATATTCTATATTCTAGCTAGGGTATCTTACTCAGTCTTTGTCGAGGAAACACCATGACAGACCCAACTACCGCAGACAAAGCAGACCATGATCAGCAGACACAGACCCCCACCAGCCAGCGAGAAGAACATAGCCTCGGCAAAGAAGTCGATCAGGAAGAGCACTCTCATGACAGGAGTCAATGGCCCGAAGAAGCCCATTTGTCCTTCTTGGCACAAACTTGGCAACGATGGACGTACTCTTACATGAATCCACTCTTGGACAAGGGTAGCAAGCAAACCCTGGATGATGGAACTCGCCTATCAGATGCCGATCTATACGATGTCCCAACCGACATGAAAGCAAAGCCGTTGAACGAGAAATTTGAACTCCTTTACCATCAAAACCATCCATCATCAACGACAACCAGCAGCACCAACAGCAAGAACCATCTCTTGCATACCCTCTTTCAAATGGCAGCTCCGACCTTTGTCCCTGCAGGAGTCTACGAATTCATTACCGTCTTGTGTCAAGTGGCATTGCCCTTGCTCATACGAGAATTGCTACGACTGCTGGAAGAACGTCCCGCTGCGTCCATTTTTGCCCAAGCGTGGCCCTTGATTCTTGGCATTGCCCTCTGTCTTGTCATCAATGCCATTGCCAATCATCGACATCGATACCTAGCCACACAATCAGGAGTCGTATTGCGATCTACCATTGTCAGTGTCGTCTATCGACGTGTCTTGCAAATCACGCCCCAAGGTCGCTTCGGATTGGCACCGGCAGAAGTTACAAACATTGTTGCCATTGATACCCAAAAATTGTTCGAAGTCACACAAGAAGCACATCTCCTGTGGGCCATGCCCTTGTCCATTGTGTTGGTCACCATTTGTCTGGTTATTGTTCTGGGTCCCACCACGCTGATTGGAGTCGTGGTCCTGCTTCTCATGGTCCCCGTCGTCGAACGAGTGGCATCGGCTATGTTGGCAATACGACAGCAACGTATCAAGTTGACGGATAAGCGAGTCGAAATCACCAATGCGATGATTCAAGGAGTACGTACCGTGGTGCACGCTTGAACAGCATTGAAAAGGAAGTTGCTCACAATAACATTTGCTTCCTCAACCTACCATCGTACTCGTCATGGCAATTCCACTCTTGCTCGCATGTGTGACCTGGACGAACGAACGAACGAACACTACAACCTACATTTCCACAGATCAAAGTGACCAAACTCAATCATTACGAAGAAAACTACCAACAACGTGTCGATCAGGCACGTAACCAAGAATTGACCAAACTCAGAAGGGAACTGTTCGTTTGGGCGCTCTCTTTGGTTGTCACCGTTATTTCGCCGTCTCTAGCGGCTGGAGCCACCTTTATCGTCTACGTCATGGCTAATGAAGATCATGTCCTCACGGCTTCTGAAACCTTCACCGTGCTGCTCTTGTTCAATTCCCTACGATTTCCAATCAACTACTTTGGAAGGCTGCTCGGGCGAATGGCGCAAGCGTTTACATCCATTGAACGGATTGCCAGCTATTTGGATCGACCTATATTACATGACGACGACAACAACAACGACAAAAACAGCAAGAGTACTGATAACGACAAGAAAGGCACTGAAATGCTGCCACAAAAGACAAGAAGCAATGATAATGACGACGACGCTGTGCTTGTGGTCCGAAATGCTTCGTTTCGAATAGGTTCGCCATCATCCGACACAGCCACCTTGTCGACGACACTTTCTGCTAATGATGCAGCAGCAACAGTTTCCACCAGTGGGTTTCGACAAGGAGACGGATTCGAAGTATCAGGCATTGATTTTGCACTGCAAAGAGGAGAAATACTGGCGTTGGTTGGTAAGTTCGTTTGTGTGCATATCCATCCATCAGGCCAGCTTCTCTGATCCTTTGCGACACTTGCTCGCCATCCCATCGTTTCAACAAACAAAAGGAACGGTTGGATGTGGGAAGTCAACAATTGTCAATGGAATCATTTCTGAGGTTCCCGCGTCGGAAGGAACATCCCTCTCGCTCAAGGGCAGAGTGGCCTATGTGAGTCAGACTGCTTTCATCATGAACACATCGTTGCGGGAGAATATCCTCTTTGGGGAAAGTTTCGAACAAGAACGGTACGAGAGGGTCCTGGAGGCATGTTGCCTATGGCCTGATATTGAACTATTGGGGGAAGCTGGTGATCTAACAGAAATTGGTAAGCTTCAAGGTGACGCATCTGGAGCTTTTCTTGCTGGTATGTTCTGTGTGAACTCATCAAGCTTGTTTCGCTGCCTTTTTGTGTATCTCTACGTCTCTCGTCTCGCTCGACCAGGGGAGCGAGGCGTAACTCTGTCTGGTGGTAAGTTCACAATCGGGCTTCAGAATGTTTATGGCGTCAGCCTCAGCGAGAATTTCTGAATGATCATCCTTTTGCTCCACGACGATCAACAGGGCAGCAGCAGAGGGTGTCAATTGCTAGGGCTGCGTACTCCCGCCCTGATGTAGTCCTTTTGGACGACCCCTTGTCAGCGCTGGATGCTGGAACATCGAAGACAATATTCGACAACTTGAAATCCCTGCTGGCGGGTTCGGCAATTGTGCTAGTCACTCACGCCGCTCATTTCCTCAGCAAAGTGGATCGAATTGCCCTCGTCTCAGACTCGAGGATCCAGTTTCTAGGGACATGGCCCGAGTTGCTCGACTTTAAACCTCACGATGCAAAGACTCTGGACGCAGTGGAACACATCCGCTCATCAGTCCAGGAAGACACAAGCGAGAAAAACGAGACCGAACCAAACCAAGGGACTCGCAAAAGTGTTTCAAACGAAGCAGGAAACGGTAGAGCCTCCACTCTTCAGAAAAGCAAGAAAATCATGACAGTTGAAGAACGTGAACACGGACTGAGCTCTCTAGCCACTTGGCTGTTGTGGTTCAAGCACGCTGGAGGAATCCCATTCATTGTTGCACATGTCCTCTTCATGACCATTGATAGATTCACGTATGTGGCCGTGGAATACTGGTTGGCTCGGTGGACCGAAGGGGCCTATGAACCAGTCGAAGTCTTCGGTATAACCTTTGCTCCCCAAACGGATGGACGGTCGGCCCAAGCGGACTATGTTTTGGTCTACGTGCTGTTGATTGCATTCTCTGTTTTCTCGACATTTCTCAGATCCGAATGGGTTGGTAAGTTTCGATACGGTGCCAAGCTACTCAACTGTCTTCGGCTTGTTCTCATCTATGCTTTCCGTGGGTGTTCAGTCACTGGAGGTTCTCGGGCTGCAAGACGTGTTTTCCAATCAATGCTTGTCAGGGTTTTGAGTGCCCCAATGGTTTATTTTGAAACCACACCTATGGGAAGAGTCCTGAACCGATTCACCTACGACCAGGAGATCGTCGATCATAACTTGACCGAGGCGATGTCTGTGTTGATGATTGCACTCGGATGGGGCGTGACAAGTGTGATCGTAATGACAGGTAAGTCCAGGACCTTGTACGAATAGCTCATGGTGACGCCGTTACGATGGCAGCCTTCCGCTCACATATCACCGTTTCCTGAATCTCCCAGTTATCTTGCCATGGATGGCGTTGGCCGTTTTCCCCACAATCCTATTCTACTGGTGGCTTCTACTCCACTACCGCAAATCTGGAGCTGATCTTCAGCGACTTGATGCTGTGGCGCGATCTCCTATCCAAGCTATGCTTGCTGAGGGTAAGAAGCAGATTTGCAATCGCAATTTGACCAGAGCGCCAGTAAGCTCACATTACGTCCATCTCTGAAGCTCTTGAGGGTCATGCAACAATGAGGGTGTTTGGACAGTCTGGCAAATTCGTGAACAAGTTTCACTCCATCACTGATTCCAGTGGAGCCGCATTGCTGAACTTCATTTCGGCGCAGAGGTGGTTGGGAATAAGGATTGAGATACTTGGGGCAATCATTGTGTTGTGTGCGACGTTGCTCGTGGTGACATTGAACGGAACCTACGCCCTTGAGCCGGGTATCGTGGCTCTTCTCATTGTGTGGGCCAGCAACTTCACCATTACTCTCGGATTCGTTGTCGATAGTTTCTCAGAAGCCGAAGCAGCCATCACATCGATTGAACGAGTGGATGCCATGTCGCGACTGCCCCAGGAAAAATCAATGAAGACCGAGGAACAGAACCGTCCAGCGCCCAGCTGGCCAGCACACGGGTCCCTGGAGTTTGAGAACGTTTGCATGCGGTACAGGGAAGGCCTCCCCCTCTCTCTGACGGGTTTGTCATTCAAAATTCCAGCTGGAAAACGGTGCGGCATTGTGGGCAGAACTGGAGCAGGTCCGTCGAACTCCCTCGCCAGAATCATGTTTTTCGCCTGTTTTGTGCCTTACACCCATCCTTCTCGTAACACTTGATTCGCAGGCAAGAGCTCGCTGACAACTGCCCTCTTTCGTCTCGTCGAAATCGAATCTGGGCGTGTTATGCTTGATGGCGTTGACCTTGGCGTCCTTGGTCTCTCTGATGTTCGTGGCAGGCCACAGGGGTTATCAATTATCCCACAGAATCCGTTCCTGGCAGGGACTACTCTGCGCGAATGCCTTGATCCTTTCGGTCATTGTGGAGAAAAGGAAGTGCTGACTGCGCTCGTGGATGTTCGTCTGGCACCATCGGACGCGGATCTTTCCGTGCTCAGCACCAAGGTTGAGGAAGGAGGTTCCAACTTTAGTGTTGGTGAAAGGCAATTGCTGAACCTTGCGCGTTCGATTCTCATGAAGCCGCGTGTACTGGTCTTGGACGAGGCAACAGGTAAGGCACCTGATTTTTGTCCGAAGGCATGTCCCTTCACCGATCTGAGCCTTTTTTTCGTGTGCTCGCAGCAAGCATTGATGGCGAAACAGACGCCTTTGTCCAGAAGATGTTGAGGACCAAGTTTGTGGAGACAACAATGTTGACCGTAGCCCATCGGCTGAACACCATAATGGATTACGACTTGATCCTCGTCATGGATGCAGGCAAAGCAGCCGAGTTCGGTTCCCCAAAAGAGCTGTTGGTTCGTGATGGTTTGTTTAGCCAGCTTGTTGATGCAACAGGGGCAGAAAGTTCGAAAGCGCTGCGTGAAATTGCCAATTCAACCGGAAACGTTCCTTAGGGCACAGAAGAATGTCGCTTGTCGACGATCCTCTTCCATTGTGGGCTTACTTGATCTGATTTCGTCGTTGGAGTCTCTCGCTCTTCTCCTCTGCATAGACCTTTCAGCCTTAGTCTACCTCATGTCCCGTGGTAGCGGGTTGTCCATTGCATCTCAGAATCGTCGCTTGATCTGCTACCATACGACAAGACGAGAGTCTGCAACCGACGTCCTTCGGGCAAATATTTGAATTTCATCAGTGCAACACACATGTACTAGACTACGCCACGAAACATAAATAATGAACACATGCAGCTATGAAAACCATTAATCTACAAACTACGCACACTTTTGATATGTATTTTTTCCACAACGAGGAAAAGCCCTGCCCCACGCATCATCATCATGCAAAACAAACGACACCGCTGGAGAGTGTCTAGAAGTCGAAAATTCCAGCCGTCGTGAGTGCTTCTGCGGTGGGCATGGTATCACCGATGGCGTGCAGGGCGTTTTCTCGTTTGCTGGGTTGGGCGGGGGCGAGACTTGGAAAGGCACAGTCGTCGTCCTCTGTCCCGTTGTCCTCTCCTCCAAAGAGGGACGTGGGCTCTGTGTTGCTGTCGCTGGCTCCCAAGAGAGAAGGAAACATGAGACCGCCATTGTCGTCGCCGTCACCACCACTCTTGTTATTATTGGTGCCCAGATCAAAACTGGCAAACAAAAAGGGAGAATCACTCGGTCTTTCTCCTGTGGACTCGTTTTCGGATTCGGCAGCGTAAACATCCATCAGCGAGAGGGTATTATTCTTGTTCTCTTGCTTGGAGGCCCCGCCCATCCAACCATCGTCCTTGTACTTGGAGGCAACCACCTTGAGACTGTCTGGCAATTTCATGTTGTCAAAATCGTCTGCAGTGGGCAAGTTCAATGTCTTGAGCAGTGTCATGGTCTCATTATTATTGCCATCATCCGTCTTGGTGGCGTTCGAATGATCCAAAAAGGAGCTGCCGGTGGGGAAATCGTCTTCCAAAATTTTGCCAGGACCAGCCTGAGCCGTGTTGATACCCAAGGCCGAAGCAATACTCAAGAATTCATTGCTGGCATTGGACGACGACGACGAATTGGAAGCATCCAAAAAATCACTTCCCGCAAACAGATCCGTGTCATCTTCTTGGATTCCGGTGGCAGACTCTTGAGTGGTCGCAGCAGGAGCATCGGTTTCTTCCTTTTCGGCAGTTTCTTCCTTGATGCCACCGACCTGCTGCTGAATTCGTTCCTTGGTGGATTTTTCTCGTAGACATTGGGCTGCCTTGCGTCTTGCCATGGCATCCCCCACGTCGTAAAACGTCCTTCGAGAGCCATGGAATCGATCGGACCGAGTCAAGAATCGACCGGGAGGGTCCTGGGCTCTCCACAGGGCCACCACCTTGGTGGACACGGAGGGCTTCATCTTTTTGGGGGTATCACGGTATACCTGTCGAGATAATGGATAGATAGATAGATACGAGATAATGGATGAGCCACTGTCACTCCGAAAACAGAACAGGGGGTATCCTCGTCCTCCTTATGACAGAGTCGAGTCGCTTCACTCACCGATTTGTACTTTTGAATCAACGCCCGGAATCGAATGTTGCCCGAGTGCATGTTGGAGCCCGTGCCACGGCCAAAGAGTACATCTGCGATGGTTGGGTAGAAGTCAACAGCAAACGAAATATCAGAGCAGTGAATTTAAAAAACCTACGAAAGCGCCTCAAATTCTCTTCGCCGAATGCTCCGTAAATTGTCATCCCCTCCGCTGCACTGCACTGCACTGCACTGCACTTACCATTGGGACCAGGATCCTCAATATCATACAGGTTAGCAGCAACTTGCTGATACTGTCGGTTCCTCGCTTGCACTGTGGATTGCATGGTGATCTTAATAGCTAGCTAGCTAGGGTAGGATGATAATGAAAGGGGGATCTGAAGGCGTTGGTGTCAATGCTCTTGCGGATCAAGATAATGAAATATATACCCAGATAATAAGAGATGCCTGTGCCAAGAATGACTGTTGTGTGCTCTGCGGAACAGTTGACCAAGCAATTGAGGGATAGTTGAGGAGCAGCGTAAAGGAGTGCTGCTGAGTGGTGATGGTGGAGGTGATCGAGGTGCGACCGCAAGAAAGAAACAGTGGATGAGGACATTCACCTCCTTATTCTAACGCGACAAAAGGGCTCTACGGAATTCGCTGTCGCTGTGTCGACTGGGGTCGACGCAAGGTCCCCAGTCCACAGCTAACTGCGGAAGCTATGTATCGGTAGGCCGGTAGGTACGACGATATCACTTACTTGTATGTAGTGCGTGGGCTGGCTGTTCTGAAGTTTTAGCTGGTGGCCACAACCAATTGGTCCGACGGTTGTTTATCCGATTTATGGACTCTCCGTCGTCGACACTGTCGACACTACAGAAATCAAAGATACTAGTAAAGCAGTATACGAGTACAGCTTTTCAATTAAGTACATAGATGTATCAGGCACAATTTATTTACTGACTATGTTTAGACAGCTCTGAGCAATTAAAAGAGCTCGTGTACTACATGTACTATACTATTAATAGTACTCTGCCAGCAAGCAAGAGAATGCATGGGGAACCTTGCTGGTACTCAAAAACACCAGGTGATGGCAAACTATCCAATCTACCTTGATTGAAACAGGATAATATTTCCATAAGGCTGTTGCTTAAACACATACTTGAGACAACTAATATTATTTCTCTCATCATTAACAACAACATACCTTGGTTCTGAATAAACAAAAGTATAGAATTAGAGCTTCCGTGCAGCAGAGCTGCAGCATTAAGTGTGTTGCGGTACATGCTGTACTATGAACGACGCAACGACGCATTTAGTTTTCACAAGACTGGGTCATCCGAGAGAGGTCTGTCTACTCGGAGAAGTTGCTTCACTCGTTGCCTATTAATTAATTGAGTACATTCCATGATGCGCACTTGGTAATATTATCGGTCAGTACCGTAAGTAAGTACGATACTCAGGACTTCCGAGTGGACGGACGCTGGCGGGACTAGCTATCAAGGTACATGGGCAACATAGCATGTACTACCCAGGACCGTCCGACGGTTTTCACTCAGGATTTTAAAAAAACTTGAAATTCCCAGGACTGATGACGGTTTAAAACAAGCCCTTAAACATGCCCTTAAATCTTCAACATGCCCTTAAACATGCCCTTAAATAAACATGCCCTTAAAACATGCCCCTAATGCCTCAAAACATGCCCTTAAGCCTTCATTGAAACACCAGAGAACATGCCCTTATCACGAATGAACATGCTCTTAAATAAACATGCCCTTAAAACATGCCCTTAAATCGGCAACATGCCCTTAAACATGCCCTTAAAATAAACATGCCCTTATTAACATGCCCTTAAAAACGATAACCAGTCGTGGCAGGTTTTAAAGCCTGAGCGAAAACCGTCTGACGGTCCAGCACTCCATTGGTCGTAGATACTAGATACCTGCAGCCAGTCAGTAATAGTACACTGTGTACTAGAGCTGTGTTACTAGTATCACAGTATCACAGCAGTGATCCAAGAATGCCTTTTTACTTTTTAAAGAGTTAGTTGATGCTGAAGGCTGAAGGCTTCTCTGTGACATTTTGTTTTCATTTCTGCTGAAGCCCATCTTGTTCTTCCAGTATTTTAATTAAAGGAGCTACCGGTACCAGGTAGAGCGCGCTTGAAGCCCCAGTAGGGTTCTTCTAACAAAGCAGCTTCTCGAGCTCACTCACAGTCTCAAGATCTCACTGACTGCTACCGGTACAATAGACTGTACCCAAGTAAGTATGGATTGTTACATTTATTTTTCATGCCACAGCTTTTCCGCTACAAGTTCAGGGAGTTTGCAACACGTGAAAACGATTGCATCGTTCTAAACAGGGGCAATTAATAACGTGGTTTTGCAAATAGACAAATAGACAGTTTGCCCAAGTCATCTGAGTAAAGTACTTTTATCTACTGTACAACAAACAGCACTCTCAAATTTCGGTGGATTGGCGGTGGATTTCAGACACACATTTTCACATTTTCCTTTATCCACGTCCAGCGGAACCCGTGGTTCGTGGTATCGTCTCGACGTCTCGACTGTCACACTTGCTTGTCAACGTCACGATGCACGGCAGCACGTGAGCTTCGTTCGATTGAATGATTGAATCGAATCGAAGAATATCATTCGATCGGTGGAACCATTCCTCGGCGATTGAAAGATCCCAATCCAAACGGGTCTCAGGCGAGTCGAGTCAGAGTCGAGTCACTAATTATACTTGAGCTGTATTACAGTTCTGATGCTTTATAAATAATGGTGGGATGTTTGCATTTTGGATGGAGGAGTGGGATGCTTGCATTTAGCATGGTAAGGTACCGGTAGCAGTGCCACCACTCGAGCTGGCACCATTGACATCTTCCCGCAGGGAGCAAGAAGTGGAGATCTTTGGCTCTGGATGGCGCCTGCTTGTGACAGATTCTCTGGTAGTAACCCCGGCAGTGCTCCTGGACTCGGAAGGGGACTAGCTAGTCTAGCTAGCCAATTTCAAGAAAAAGATTCCTTAGAGCCTGCTCAAGAGAAACTCCCGACCTCCTCATCAACTGATCAAATCGTATGGATATTCTTTAAAGTAGGTCTGGAGTGTACTCTTTAGGTATCACGGTTTCCGTACATCGTAGTAGGTCCAGGCCTTGGGATAGGTTTGGTCATATCGGGTGCGTGTTGTTCTGCCTGCCTGGAAAGAAGCTGGAAGCACAGCAGGGCAGATTATACGGATTCGTGGCTGATTGCAAGCCTGTGGCTCCTGTACCGGTAGGCCTGTAGGTATCCTGGCTCATGCTATCGACCTCATGTTTTCCAGCCAGGATTGATTCGATTGGATTCGATTCTGTCTTCTGTCTGGAAGTAGAGTCGAGTCGAGTCAGTCGAGCCAATAGCTTGAGGATGAAAGGTCTCAAGAGGATCTCGGGATGAGCAAACTTGCCCATTGCCCTGCATTGTATTTGATAGCGTTTTTTGTAAAAGTGTCTGTGAAAAAGCGAATATATGTTTTGGGCTGCAATTTTGCTATTGGATTAGATCGGATTGGATTGAATTGAATTGGATTGGATTTAATTCCAGTTTACTATACAAATAACAGTACTACTCTGAATCCAATTCAATCCAATTCAATCTAATCCAATGCAATCTAATCCAATTGAATCTTGCTTCCCGCTAAAATTTTCATTTTATCATTTTGCTGACATTCTGAGTCACTCTTGTTGAGTACACTACAGGGCTATAGCGAGATTTGCCCATCCCCCTCTGGCTCTGCTGTGAAAGCAAAGTCAGTAATCCTGCACAGCGGCTCACAACAGCATGGTGCCCGAGAATTCCTTCCAAAAGTGCTGGGGCAGCCAGCAATTCTCGATCCGTAAATGAGTGGTTAGTTTCCAACGCCGCACTTCGGCTGCGCTGTAAATGCTGTACCATACCGTACCGGTACGCTACTGTAGCCAAGCCATCGATATCGCGTTATTACTGGCCGATGTACGACCGGCTCAATTCTCATTTTTGGCTGGACCGATTCACGTGGTGGGCAGCCCTGCGTTCCGTGCTAAATCTTTATAAGGGACTGGATTATTGGGAACCGTCACCCACAGCGCGATGCCGCCAACAAATTGAACGCGACGATGACAATTGCTTCGTTGAAACTGAGGTAGTTTCTATTTTACAGCAAAGCCGGTTGGTACTAACAGTTTCTTGCACAAGCATAACCAGAACACAAAGCAAGAGTGGTTGTTGCAGGGCAGAGAAGAATTGAAACATTATCCTTCCGATTGGTGGCAGTATCCGTTCTCATCATCACAAGACAATCAGCAGCACAATGACCAATCGAATACGGCAATCTGCTAACAATGACAGTCGACCGTCTCCACTACGCTTCCTTGGAACGGCTCTGGCATTCAGTGTCCTGCTGTTAGCCTTTCATGTCAAAGCGGATACCGAGGTTCCTCAGTTCCATCAGCGTGTCCAAGCAAGTCCCTTTGAGTTTTCCACTTTGGATTTCATTCTGTTTGGAGCCTTTATCTTGCTAGCATTTGAGTTGCTGCAGTTCTTGGTTCAGAATTCTGGAGGTATGCACCGTGTTATTGTAGTCTATTTCGGTGGTTTGCTGTGCTAACCCCACTGGATGCCGTATGGGGTCTCATTTTCTATCTCAGACTGGCTAGGTGCCAAAAAGATCCCTGTGAGAGGACAGCATTTGGATGACTTTAGAACTGTGAGTTCTTGATCTCTTTTTGATTATTACTTTCATTTGCCTGGTCATGGCTGCTGACCAGTGTTTATCTTTCTGTTTCTCTTCTGGTCTTCACAGTTGGATCATACATTCATTAGCTTCAACAAGTTGGCAACAGTTCCGTTTGTTTACTTCTTCTTTCGCTACGCCTACTTTGAGCCAAACGTCATATGGGATTTGGACAACATCACCTTGGTAAGCTTGATTCTGGACTCTACTGCGGTTTTTGGATTCTTTCCATATCCCACCTGATGGCTTTCTTTTATCGGATTTTCTTGTTTCATAGTACAATTCAGTGATACCAGTTCCGGTTTTGATCATCGTCTATGACTTCTTCTACACGATCCTTCATTGGGCTCTCCACATCAAAGCCATCTATGGGTACATTCACAAACATCATCATCGCCAAAAGGCACCCAGGTAGGGATTTGTAGAGCGTCGGTTGTGTTTGTTCCTTTTGGATACCCCAAGCTTGTTGCATCGGCTATGTAACACATTTTCTTTCTCTTTTTCTCTCTCAGCCGTGCCAACGCGGATGCAGTCAATGTCCACCCAATTGAATTCTTTTTGGGTGAATACAACCACCTGATGGCACTCTTTTTGTGCTGTCGTTGCCTCAATATTCAATTCCACGTTCTTGGGTGCATGCTAATGATAGCCGTGGGTGGGGTGTTGGCGGGTCTCAACCATACACGATACGATATCGTCATTTCGATACTGGGTCTCCACATCTATGATTCCAAAGTTCATGATGTTCATCACCGTGTTCCCCAAAGCAACTATGGACAATACATAATGCTATGGGACTACGTTTTTGGTTCCTATCGGTAAGTGCATGGTTTGTTGTCTTGCCAACTGTGGTTGCCTTGGTTTGCAAAAGGAGCGTGGAATGACAAAACTGGAACCAACACCTGTCTTTCACTTGTTTTATGCTGCAGGCCATATGATTCAACAGATCGAGTCAACAAAATGTCCCAGCTTGATCCAAAAACTGGAAAGTCCTTGGCACACATGAAGAGGTTGGAGAAGCAGAAGCTGTAGTGGCTCAATCTTGTCCGGTCGCATAATATAGAACGGCGTGCACTCGCTATGGATGTGAATTGATGTAAAACAATGCCGTATCATTCTGTTCGGGCCTACAGTTGAGTTTCTTTTGTCATAGATCTGTTTAAAAAAGAGTTTTCCCTTTTTGATAATATTCATAGCCTAGCTTTCTTGGGGAGCTTTCCATAGAATGGCAAGTGCGCCGCGTCCTCAATGTCGATCAGCGGTAGGAATGTGTAAGAGCTGCCTCCATCTACACACAAAATGGCTCCAGTGACGTAGCTGGCACCTTCACAAAGCAGCCATGTCACTGCGGAACTGATTTCTTCCGGTGTACCAAATCTCTTTGCAGGTATTGAAGGTAAAACTCGTTCCAGAAGCATGTCTTCCGCTTCGCCATAATTTTCGGCCCCCGAATCGGTATAGACGACCCCGGGTCTCACACAGTTGACGCGTACATCGGAATTGATCCATTCCGTACAAAGCGTTGCCGTCATGTTTTCTACTCCAGCTCGAGCAGCGCCAGAGTGCATCATGTAGGGCATTCCGTTGCGATTTCCCAAAGTGATGTTGACAATTCTGCCTCCATGCTCACCCATCCACTGGTTGAAAGATTCACGGCAGACCAGGAAAGTGCCTCGCAAGTTTGTTTCCATGACGGCCGAAAAACCTCGATTCGAAAGGTCTTCTGCAGGGCAAACAAACTGCCCGCCAGCATTATTCACCACAATATCCAGTCTTTTGTGCTCCTCCAAAATGGAAGCAATCAGATTCTCAATGTCCTCTTCCTTTCGTATATTCAAAGAGGATTTGCCAACAACCACACGGCCCTTGCTATTGCCACTGAGCTGACGGTTGATTTCCTTGGCGGCATCTTCGCACTTGGAACGATTTCGACTGGCAATCACGACGATAGCGCCCAGTGTGGCTAGTTCCAACGAAATGGCGCGGCCAATTCCCGTTCCACCACCAGTGACCAAGGCGACTTGTCCGTCAAAAAGGCCATCACGGAAGCAGCTCTTCCAGGGCTTTCGGATGGATTCGTCGCTGGATGTCATGGCGAAAGCAACTTCTTGAATTGTTCTTTGAAAGCTTGCGATGAAGGCAGAGGAACACCAGTACAGGTTTGTGGAGTTTGTGGTTGGTCTTCAACCGTGGGGTATCCGGCATCCAACCACTGACGTCATAAATCTATTTTTCATCAGTCGTGGATACACTTAAACCTCCATCCAACAAATTCTGCGAACGAGAAACAGTTTTTCGCTATTAATAATCCGATTTGGTAGGAGGATGGGTGAGGGACGGAATCTCTAATTTGTAGTAGAAGCTGGCTAATCAGCAGACCGGAGTACCTTGATACTCGAGCTAGCTAGTCTAGTAGCATGCATCTTTGTCATGATGCATGATGCTACCGTACGCGCAGCTTGGCCAGGCAGGGTAGCTGGGGCTCAGGAGGAACACCTAGCTAGAGAAGGATGATTTTGAATGGCGGCCTCAGGTAGTCCTGCCCATCTACTATTACCTGCTTCCTCATCCATGCAAGCAGAACAAGGAACTGCCTCCTTCCACCTCCAAATTATCATGTCATAAGTAATCCAACAACTGGATCTATACGGCCTTTGCCATATCTAGCAAGCGCTAAGATACATGTGTAGAAACGGCAGTGCACCCAATCATACTGCTAGCTACTTCAAAAGTATCCTGGTACACGTAGTTTCAATGGTTGATAGAACAAGCATTACCTCATGTATGTGCAAACTTCAATGCGCCTGCCGGAGCAAAACATCATCAACGAGAGAGCACAAAGATCAAGTTCCATTATCATTGCTTCGCTGGAACAGACGGTATGGCAGCCTGTTTAGAGAAGAATGTATCTTGAGAGCTCGCAATAACTAAAATAAATGATCAGTCTGTCTGGAAAAACCAAGACCACGAGACCACGTCTTTGCTGGCCACACAACCCAACAAATAATGCAATGACCGGACGATGACGGCGCTCTCAATTGAATGATGTTGCAAAGATCGTCTTCATTCTGAGGCCATGGGAGTTTCGTTGCGAAAGTGCTCGAAGCAGGGCAGTGCGCACGCCATTTGTCCTGAACGGACTGCGAAGCCTTTGTTCCAACGGAGAAAATGTCATGACGTTTCGTTGTTAGAGAGTAATGGCGTTTTTGCAGAGTCTGTCATTGGTTAGCCTAATTACAATAACCTTTTTGAAACTGGCTCGCTCTTGAGCCACTGCGCGTCCAATCTACGAGCGAAACCTAACCCGAAATTGAATGGCGAACGCCGATTTCAACTCATCAATGCAAAGAAGAAAGGTCTCGAGATCCGTTTTCACAGAACACAATCAATGCAATGACAAGCGCCACCATCATGACTGCCACCACCGCCACCGACTCCAAGAAGAAAGATGTTCCCAAGGAGCAACCCCAGGCTACCACTGCGAATGACACTGTTCCCTCTGGGTTCATCCTGAAGCTTTTCCAGATGGTCAATGGAGCTCCCGATGAGGTCATCCGGGTAAGTTAATTCGTTCTTCTTCGTTGGCCAACAAAGGTCACTTTTTGGTATCAAATCCAAGTGGATATATTCTGTTATCTCGTCCTTGCAACCATGATACGTTCTTCGTGACTTGTCATTGGAGGCACGCTTGTTGTCTCCAGATGCTTGAGCGTGCTCACTTTGTGAGCGAGGAAGTGGGGGTGGATACAGGAACATCCATCATCTTTGTTGGATTGTTCTTCCGTTCCATTGGCCATCAACGCCATGACACTTCCTTAGTCGCCTTGGCCATCAACGCCTCCACGAACCGAGCTGCTCTCCTTGCCTGTTGATGGCTTGAGTAGTCGTGGAAGAACGTGTTGTTTCTCACGGAGAGTCCCCACAGAATTTTCCATTCTGTTCCTGTCCATGGACTTCTCTTCCGAGGAAACGAGTCTTGACACGTCTCCTTTCATGGCTACTGCAGCACCATCCGGATGCACTCGTTATCTACTCTATCTGCTGTTTTTGGTTGATTGTTGTATCGGCACTTTTGGCATTCCCACAGACGGCCGTTTCCCACAGAGAGAGCCCACCATGGCCGCAGATCTCTTCCGATTCCGAGCGAAAAAATTCAAAAGGTTTCCGAGCTTCTTCTCGTAGCTTCCAGTACCGGGCCTACCTTGATGTGCGAATCTTTTGGCTTCGTATGTGCATTTCCTACGAAAGGGTTCGGATTGAAATCTGAGGCCCGAAAGGGTTCCCGCCAAAGGCTCATTCGAGACTCAAATCCTTTGATACGTGCGTTCGCTGAAACCGTTCGACTTTGTATGTGTATCTTTGGCAAAAGAGAAAGATGAAGTGTATCTTCGGTTCGCCTTGTGAACTTTCGTGCACGCTGATTGGTTGTTGTCACCGCGCCACCATCGTCAGTCATGTTGTCCGTCATTGTGACATGTTGTTCTAAGCTCGGGACTAACACACTGTTGTTTCATCTATCTACTCTGCCCTCTCTCAGTGGACCGAAGATGGCGACGCCTTTGTCATTGGTTCAGATCTCGAACGGCTCGAGTCGGAGACACTGCCTCAGTACTTTCGCCACAACCGCTTCCAGTCCTTGGTCAGGCAGCTGAACTTCTACTCCTTTCGGTAAGTTAGCGTAGAGGTACGGCATAGCTAGCTACTGGCTAGCCAGAGCTAAGGGTGGGGATTACATGGGCTCACATTTCACCAAATCCTTCCTCTTGTCTATATTATGTTTCTATTGGGTTGTGGTCACAGCAAGATCAACCGAGAACGCAATGTTTGGATCTACAAGCATAACTTGTTCCATCGTGATCACCCTGAGGACCTCTACATGGTTCGTCGGCGCACTTGCCCTGGCTTGGATGGACGAAAGCAACGGTTCTCGTCCCGTGGTCCGCTCCCCAAAGGCGCCAACAAGAAGTCCGAGGATAACGACAACGCTGTCACTACCCCCAGTGATGAAGAATCTGGCTCCATTGCTGAGGACCATCCTGTCATCGAGGAGAGCCCTTCCAATGATTCCTCGATGGGTGTTGGTTCGAAGAAACGAGACAGTTTCAGTCGACGAGTATCGCTGAACAGTCGTGCCAGCAACTCGGAGCAGCTCGACGCGGATGTACAACCACCCAAGTCCAAGAGAAGCCGTTACTACCAGGATACCCCGGAACCGTCGCCGCAAGCTCCTGGCAGTCCGGTGGTTGATTTCTCACTCCTTCATAGCTTGGAGGAAGCCAACAGCAACACCGCAGCTGCTGCGCGAGAGGACGACATGCCAGATGACTCGAGTCTCGACAACAAGCGGAACGAGAAGCTCGAAATGCTCGAGCAGTCCATGATTGTAGAAGACGTAGCAATGAAGCTTGAAGAGTATGCCAAACGAGCTCGAAAGAATGGCATGTTACCATCTCGAGTTCGTCGTCCGGGAGCCGGAGTTGTGACACCTCCGTTCAGCTCCTCGTCGTACCAGGTGTCCATGTCGGCCAGTGAGCTGCTGACTTACGATGACGAGTATCCCGCGGAAGACTTGCAAGCCACCGAACTGTTTGGCATTCAAAGCACCAGCAGTGTGGTCACCGATTCGGATGTGGACGAAGTGGAAGATCGCTTCGATGTAAGCAAACCCTCGAAAGAGCTCATGGTCAATCCTGTCCCCATCCCACAAGCCAAGTCCATCACGGAACGGCTCTTGATGTCCGACATTACGTCAGCAGCGGTAGCAGGGTTTTGCATGTCCACGGCGCCTATCGGCAATCCCGAGATGAGCCGAAAGATCCTACAGCTCATTGCATCGTGTGAGATCCTGGCGTGTGACTTCCATCAGTACCGTGAAGCGCTCGACCCGATGGCTCATTCGGGCGATCCCAACCGGAACTCGGCTGCCCTTTCTGTCCATGCTCGAATGAATCACATGCAGAACTGGGAACGCGAAGGCAGTCGCAGCAACGCTGTACGCGATTTCAAGATCTTCTCGGTCAACTGTGTTCGAAAGATTCTCGAAGGAGCGAGCGGTCCTCTCCCAGATGCGGACCGAGTTGCCTTGAAGCGCACAGCTGACGTTTGGCTCAAGTCTATCAACATGCTGGATCAAACAAGACGCGAGATCCAGTGAGGCTGTCTGCCTTCAGTTCATTCATTCTATCATCCACCATCCATCCATTCTTTGTTACTTTCACGGATTTCTATAGGAAAAGTGCGCTTGTGTTTCTGCTGTAACCGATCAGCCAGAGACAGTTTTTGGCACGAAAAGTCTTGTTTGCTACATTGCTGCTACTTGGGATTTTCACCGTTTGCTCCTGTCATCGCCACCACCACCCCTGCCATCTTGATTAATTCACCTGCTAGGACACACGCTCAGCACACAACCATTCCACCTTTCATCTTCTAATTTACCTATAGAAATCATGCTATCTCAGTCCATTCAGCCGGCATCATCTACCGGTATGCTGTAGCTAGGAACACAGCAGGGGTAGACCACGACTAGACTCTCCCGCAACAGAGATTCCAGGGGGTAGCTAGATCTAGCTACGGTCGATGTGCTAGCTAGCTAGTAGCCAGGGTGCATAATATCATCGAACCAAAGCTGCAGTTTAGTTATTAGGAAGGAAGCTGAGCCAGTTTGGAGTGAACTGGTAGCTAGCAAGATAGTCATTAGCAACCGTTGCTACCACATGATGCAAAGTTTTGAGTTGTTGTCATGCACACATTATCTTGTCCTTTGTTTGTCCACAATCGCGAATCGCAGGACAAAAATTGAAAATGTGGACAACTCTTGGTAGGAGTCTTGTAGGCGTGGAGTTTAGTCGCTTTGCCTCCGATCTTGGCCGCCCAGGCTCTGATCTCTCGCGCTTATTGAATTTTTTCCTGGTACAGTTTCTACGTTAGCTTAACGGTGCCTCATGGGATACCCATCGGCTGGCTTGTGATCATTTTTTCAACTTCGATGACATTTCTGGCTGGTAACGCTGATTTGGTCGAGTATTTGTATGTTAATATTGGTGGGAGCGGACTGCAGAAGTAGTCTCCGTCAGTCCCAGAGCCCTCGGTTTGAGCATGCTGATCATTAGGCTGTGAGAGTTACCCTTAGCAGCAGCCTTTTCAAGCAGAATTAGTTAGTGAGTTGGTTGGAACAAGATGTTTGTGGCGCTGCAAAACGAACGGGCGCCCCAGCAGCCCGGCCTGAGGATAATATCGTCATCTTCCGGATCTTCGAGTTCTTCCTTCTTGAGGGGTTCACGAGTGGTTGATGCAGCTGAGAATAACCACGACCATCACTACCAACAACAGCAGTTTAGCAATGTCATTGTAGAAGATCATGACGATGATCCGATCATGGATGGTCGATCCGAGGTGGGAGATTGGTCTCAACAAGAACAGGATCAGTTCATATCATTAATCTTGCCCTATATTCGTGGCAAGAAGTTAAGTCAAGAAGAAATCCAGCTGATACGAATGGAGGCTCAGGAGGCTCATCTACCGCCAGAGTGTGTAGATCGGTTGATTGAAGAAAGCCAAGAGCACTACCAGCAGCAGCAGAATCAGCAAAAGCAGGTCGAAACCAAGCACAAGAAAAGAGAGTTTGACAACATTGAAGAAGTCGACGAATCAGACAATATCATGGCATACTTTTCTCGTATGGCATCGCTCAAGGAAGGCGGACATTTCCCTCGGCTTAACACTGAAGCTATAGGTAGCTTTGTGGAGGAAGATGCTTTAGCAGAGGAGGTAGAAGTTGACCTCGATGTGGGATACGTCAACAAGAGTTTTAACATGCCTTTGGATACCAATGTCATCCGGCAAATGAACACTTGGTCGGATGATGACGGCGAGTCGCAAAATATGTCTGAGGATAGCGCTTTCAATCGGTACAATCCCATGGGATTCTCTGACGCAGCTTCGGATGTCGTTCCTGATACCTTTGAAACCGAGTTAGACGCCTTTCAATCCTTATTGGTGGGCGGTGCTTCCACGGAAAGGAATGACCTAAGTATCCCTGCCAATGTGAGCCTCGACGATAGCGGAATAGTAAACATGGGGGATGCAGGAAAAGGATCGAGAAGCGGCGATATGAGCAGCTCTCAGCGATCTAAAAGCGGTGTTTCCAGCAGCAGTGATTGGGATCTATCCTCAACTCAGAGTGGCAAAACAACCATGTACGGCTACGGACTCGAGTTGGATGAATGGAAGCGAAAGAAAAACATTGCACTGTGGCAGCCTGAAAGCAGCGCCAAAGCACTAGTAAAAAGGGGTCCTTTCTTTGCGTGTCAAACGCTGGCTCTGCAAGCTGTGGCAGACGAATTGAACGGGCTTCTCTTTGTCCACCCCCCAAATCGCCTTCAAAGTGCCAAAGCCGTGCAAAACATGATAGAGAGAACCAAAGAAAGTCGCAAGCGTCAAGAGGTAATGGACCTGATGCGACATGTCCCCGAGGCAAACACATCCAATCCCAGACCATGGCAGCTGCCGTATAGGGAGCGCTGCAAAAACAGTGCAGGGTATTTGGGTGTGGATCAGTACTCACTGATCGATACTGCATCAGCTTTGCGTGTCTTTGATTCACGAGATGTTTCGCCTTGGGAATCTCGAGATGTACTGCAACATTTTCTAGACGAACAAAGCATAAGCCTGACGCATAATTGGTTCGGTACGTGTCATACAGCAAATGACATGTCTTGATTTGTTCTCAGTCACGGTATCTAACAATTCCATCTTTCTCGATTCGATTCACAGGCAACCTCAGGCGGAAACGAGGCAACGATAAGATCAAGTACAAGCCAGCGCGTCCAAGCTCCATGCCAATCCCAACTGAACCGTCTTTGCAATCGGCCAGCGAAGAAATGGACGATTGGACCGAGGTGCTCAGCAAGGCATCCAAATCCTGGAAGGATGATGAGGTTAACAGAACTGCATCAATGTCCGTAAGTTCAGAGGAGTCAACTTCTCAGAGCTGCGACGATGAAACCACGTCTCGATTTGCAAGTACAAACAGATCCGAACGAACACACTCTGTGACGTTTCGGTCGTCAGTTTTGACGTCGTCCCAGTCCACAACTGAAGCCAAAACCTACAACAGCAGCACCATAGATCATGTCTCCATGGCAACGGGAACAGAGACCAGTACCGGCACAAGCACGAGCTCTGGTTCAGGTTCGGGGCAAAGATCAGGAGTCGCTTCTATGAGTGTGGATGATGATATCGAGAGTACTGGTGTCAGCGAGATCCTGGACGCGGATGATGACGATGTAGAGAGCGCTGGTGTCAGTGCGATTTTGGACGATGACGGTTCGTCTTCCTCGTCCTCAGTGTCTCAAAGTAGAACAACTCGAGACCGATATTCGTCGTCCTTTTCGGAGGAAGAATCATCCACTAGGAGTGAAGACGACGACAGGAGCAACTCGGGTTCAGAGAGTAGCGGTAGCTTTTGCACAGAAGACAGCGAATCCACCAGCAGTTGTAGCTGGGAGGAAGAAGTTCCAGAATGTGGCGCGTTTGTCAACGTCAAGCCCAAGCTTGGAGAACGAGTGTCTCGCGTGGCCCCTGACTATACAAGTCATCTGCTGCGCAGTCGTTTCCGCAAAAAGTACCTTCCACGAGGGGGTATCCTTGCAATGAACAACAACACCAAGAAGAAGAACGCAGGCAACACCAAGAAGTAAAAAGAAAGTTCTAGTAACTATGTACTGTGGCTATTAGTTAGGGGGCGATGCACACATCGCGACTACAATACATCATTAGGAAAATCTCAAGCTAGCTAGATGATTGGAGCTGTACCCTTCCCCAACAAAGCCTTGTGATCGATTGTTAGCAAGGATACAAAGCCTCATGGGCTTCAAAGTGTCCTGACCCTTCTGCACTCTCCGATTCATGCTCGGGGTCTCTCTCTCTCTCATTCATCCTCAGGTATGATAGATGTTTGGTTGTGTGGAACACACACAAAAAGTCTGGGAGGGAAAGCTGGGTTACTGTACTATCCTCGCAAACTGCAGAGGATAACCCCAACACACAAAAATCCATTAGATAGCTGGAGCTATGGATAGTAGGGTACCGGTGCTAGTACACCTTTACGGTACAAATTTATGGTAGCAGAAGCATCTCATCAGAGCTGTATTGCCGCAAAAGCTTTGGTGGCATCGTCCAAGGAAAGGCTACTGGCACGGCTGTAAGTTTCTTGCGGGTGAGGGATTGACCCCCCGGTCCAAATCGCGCTCTCCGAAAAAAGATAAGGCTGGTGGACTTCGCACCAACGGGCTGCATCCAACATCCAATCCAACGACAACAACCTGCTGTGGCTGTCTGATCTATTGTATCGTTACCGTTGGCAGTAGTGCTCCCTACCCATCTCCTTGTTGTTGATTTGTTGCTGTATCACATTCCAGATATAGCTACAGACAGCGCTTGATTTAACGACAGTGAAAGTTGATATCTTTATTTAGGCTACCCATCGTGAATTCGTTGTGATCATGCCAGATCCCATCCACTACTTCAACGACTGCGACTTGGAGCCAGTGATTGGAGAGGAGAGCTCCATCGTGATAGCTGAAAAGTCCGAGTTTGATTTTGATGGATCCTTTGCATCAGATGGTGGTGAGAACAAGAAACCCATGTATGCGGCAACGTCCTTCTATTTGGATGCCTCTGGCCGTTCCCGAATGTCACTCCCCCTCAAGTTCACCTTGCCATCCAAAGAGGCACTGGATGACTTTTTATCCAATGATTGTATTCATCCAATTCCTTCCAATGTGGGAGAAGATACTGGTGGAGGAGGTCCCTTTGGTAACCATGGTGATTCCAAGACCTCGCTAGGGTTTGAGGTCACCACTGTGGCCATGCCAGTGGTCGATCATCACTTGGATAACTCTTTGCATTCCATTTACTCGGCTGGATCCCAAGGCTCCGACGACGAGGAAATGGCAGCACGTCGCAGCAGTCTCACAAATGCCACCAACAACAACAACCCCCAATCGAAAAAAGCCCCCCCCCCCCCCAAAAAAAAAAAAAAAAGGAAAGGGGAAAAAAAAAAAAAAATCACGGTGCTATCTTCTCGCATTGAAGGCACGTCGATTGTATTTGAAACACAAATTATCGTTCGTGCCGCACAGCATGATACCCTCATGATCAAGACACGCTTACAAGTCGTGGCCATCTTATCCGAACAACCTCGTGATCCTCCTTCCCAACAATCTCGAATGAGCTATGAAGGATTCCCCGATTTTACTCTACAAACCACGCTCACAGCCTCCAAAGTCAAACAAACCAAATTGGATCCCTTTATCCTCGAGGTCATCTTGACGGATGCCTTGGCCATTGACGTGACTTCCGTCACAGGACCCACTACGGGACGAACATTGGTCAGTTTGGTCATGAGGCATCCCAACACTCACGGAGAGCCCGTGACGGTGACGAATATTGCCTTGCATCCGGGACATTCCCGTTTGGAGCTACCGGCTCCTCCCGGAGCACCCCCGCAAGGGATGTATACCCCAACCCACACGGTGGCGGATATGAGTAAATGTGTCCAGTGGGGATATGCGCCTCAGACACAGCCCAAATTGCCCTTGACGTTGTATCCGCAAGGAGCCTTTGCGACCATCCTGACCATTGATGCCATGGAACACATGAGAAGTCGTACCTTCAAGAGTCCCATCAGCGTCACGTCGGTGGTGGGACATCCCACCAAGGCAGAAGAGGAAGGTGCCGAAACGGCGGCCAGTATGAATCCCACGACCATCTCCTCGGCAGATGCGCAATGGACGACCGGACGATTGGCCCAGGAACCTTCCGATGCCTTTCGAATTGATATGCAATTGCAAAACAAGGACTTTTATGTGGGCGAGCCATTCACCATCTTTTTGCGGGTCAAGAATCTCAGTGCCGAAGCTCGTGACATGATGTTGCTAGTTGCCAAGGACAGTGATAAGCAGGCCAGTTCCACGGGGACAATGACAACCACGTCGTCGTCCTCCACATCGGCGGTCCTGGCGCAGCCCACGACGAACAATTTAAATGTCAGTAGCCATCACGCGGGAGCAGGATCGAACCGGGATTCCATCCCATACGTACAACAGCAGCAGCAGTCGCAACGTTCCAGCGTGCCCAATACAGCCGTCGTGAGCGAAGTGAATGGGTACACCTTTGGAGTCTGGGGATTGATTGCCGATGCGGACAATCCCGTCTTCCGACTGGACCGCGATCAGGACTTGTTAGCGATTGATGCTGCCTTGTTGTTGGGTGAAATCAAGGGACATCATTCTGTAGAGGCACAATTGCGGTTCAATCCCTTGCGGGAGGGGACGTTGGACGTGCCCAATATGCAACTCTTTGACAAGCGGAATCGAAAGTGGTACTATTGCAATCATAAGCTGAACATTGTGGCTCGACAAAAACGAACGACTCAAGAGAGCAAAGAAGATGAGAAGGAAGAAAAGGAAGACTAGTTGTTAAACAACGAGTACGTGTGGAATGATTCTTCAATCACATCCAGTATTCTTTTTTAGGTTGCCTGTTTCTTTCTTCGTAAGTTTGGAAACTTTTTGTTTCTACGATCATCTGCCATACTTGCTACTAGCTAATGAAACTGTTCGGTACTAGTAGCTATTATCGTACGGTACCAGATGCATAGTTGAGTTTCGGCATGGAATGGAAGGGTGCCTTTTACTGTCCAGCAGCTCATGCTAAGATTATGGGGGGGTTAGGCCGCAGCGCGGGGGAGGGAAAAGAAAAAAGAAAGGGAGAGGGTTATCAGTTGGATTCCCAATTCCAACGTCGAGAGCAGGCAGGGCATGTTTGAGACATCCGAAAGACCATTTTACTTATCGGGTGAGGGGATATGGCAATGACTGCAACCGTCTCCATTGTAAAGCTGACATTTCCCCCATGGGTAAGACGTCTGAAGAACATTAATATGTCAGCAAATGCGTCACAACGGATGGCAGGCACATTCAAATCGAAGTCGGTTGACAGGTTGTCAGTTACACTGGCTGGCTTGCTTGTTCTTTTTTTCCCTATCCTTCGCTCGCACCAGACCTTCCCACAAATTCAAATATTGGCTGTTGTTGTCGACACCGGTAGCAGCCATCGATGTTGTTGTCGACAGCTATCAAAAGGTAAGAGAAATTGTCGACAATGAGGATTCAACCGGCATCTACTACTGTCTACTACTGTTATGTAACATCGTTTCTCGTTTGACTTCTATTATGCTACCATCGCGCACTTCATTCATATCACTACGTGCTCAGATCTCCAGTCTCCACTCGGATCACTACGTGCTCGGATCTCCGATCTTCCAACGACAGCAACAACAACGCGACAATGAGGATCGCAACTACTCCTGGCTTCTCAAAGTGGCTGCTGCAACGTGTGAATCATTCGTACCCATTCAATGAGCTGAGAGTTACAAGGCATGGATTCACTTGGAAGTATGTTATCTTTGAAGGACAGTATGCAGATAACAGATTCATCAACAACCAAAAGCATTGTGCTCGCCCAATTGAATTTACAGGGCACATTCTTGAGCAGATGATCTTGCAAGGAGGATGCAAGCCTCTTCCTCCTGTCATGACCAACATCATGGATTACATGTATTATTGGGGACCTCAGAAGAGTCGCCCATGGTACAGAGCTGTTCTCTCCACTCTTTATGAAATGTTGGAGGGGCCATCTCCCTGTGAAAGGAAGGACATCTTCATGGAGTGCATCTATTGGTTAGTGAAGGAGAGGATCACTGAGAGCTATGACTTATCCTCCAATGAAGGGCAGATTGTGATGGCTGCTTGGCACGGGTATTACAGCCAGTGGTACGAAGACAAATTTTCCTTTAAGGATTTCAGTATAATGAATGAGGAGTTTGTGACTTTGTGCATTGAAGACCTTGACTATTCTGGAGGCCTGCGACCCCAATTTGCTATGTTTATTGATGGGAACAACCAACCATGACTTCGAATGTAAGTTAGTAATGGGTACATTACTAGAAACGAATTTGTCACATCTAATATTTGTTCTTATTTCTATGCAGAGTATCCACTAAATCTAGATTGGCAATGAGCATCATGGGGTGGTCTTCCTCTCCTGTTAGTCAACCACTGGCAGTATCTCTGACAGCAGCCAATGGGTGGAGGTGGCTGGAAAGGAGATGGCAGTATTGGTTGGAATTGCCGCATTTGCATGGCAAGTTGCATCATTTGAATTTGTTGTTGTTGCTGGTATAGAATCAAATTACCAACATAAGCATTTCTTGTTTGTGGCACTGCAGGTGGTGGAGGTGGTGGTGGTGGTGGCGGTGGTGGTAGTGGAGGTGGTGGCGGTGGCTCGATTGCTGGTGGTTCTGTTGGAGGTGGTGGCTCGATTGCTGGTGGACTCGGTGGTGCTCCAGTGCAAGCTGCACAAAGACAACAATCATTTGGAGCATACTTCTGCCTTTGTGGTTTGAATGAAACAATGAACTCTGAAAAGAACCTCTCTCCAGAATCATGTGGCAGTGGCTCTGCAGTAGGAAATGGTGGATCCACACCCACAGCCTCTGCTAGCTCATTCAGGTAAGCCAACTCTGAATGATTCCAGTAAGGTACAACCTTTTCCCATCCAGCTGGAATTGACCTCCTCTCTGCCAGACTGATTCTTGACAGGAAGGCTCTCTTGTGTCTAATCTTGAGGTTGTATCTTGCAGTTCCAGCCAAGTTGAGTGCATCAGCAAGGCTTCTTCTCATTCCACCATTGCCAAAATGGGCAAACTTGTCATGGAACGCTTCTAACTTGGATTCTCCTCTCCTCGATAGGTACTCTGGGAG